AGTAGGATGGCATAGCATGATACAAACCGAAGAGGAGAGGACACTAGCTTCTGTCAGCGTGTGTAGCTGTGCTGTGTACTGTCTGCTCTGCCTTCTGTCAATACCTGTGGGAAACTTACTGTGGAAATAAATCAGAGGTGAATTTGTCAAGTGCAGTAATAGCTGCGGTATTTATTCATTCCTAAGCACACACTTACTGTGTGTTTGTTACAAACCAGGCACAGTTCAAGGTGCTAAGGATGCCATATTGAACAGACAAAACCTTGGACTTCATGGACCGTCCGTTCTAGCAGGGAAGACAGTAAAAGCAAGTGAAATAAATATAATACATGGTGTGTTGGTCACTGTGCCAGGGAGAGAGAGAAAGTGGGAAAGTTCATGTGTGCACATGTGCATATGTGGGTGCATACATGCGCGTGTTGAGGGTGGTGGTTGGATTTTAGGCAAGATGACCAGGAAAAGCCTCCCCGGACAGGAATTGGTTGCATCAAGACCCAGGGAGATGAGTGGCAGGCCGTGCTGGCACACAGGGAACAACATTTGTCCGGGAAGGTCATCAAGAAGAGGTGACTGCAGGCTTGACCTGCAAGCTGACCCAGGCACTTAGAGCCTGTTCACCCACTTTCCTATCCTTGGAACATGCCCTCTGCCTGCCTGCTCTCCCAGGCTCAAGCTGCCCAAGGACGCAGGCTGGAGACTGAACCCAGGGGGACCCTCCCCATAAGCTTTTACCATTCTGTTGGGCAGGGTCGGGGAGCCACTGGCCCTGCAGCCCCCAAGACCAGTCTCCTGAGCAAGCTGCCTTGCTTACTGAAAGGCCAGTTGCCAGTCCGGAGTGGGCTGCCTTCCTTCTGTCTCTCCCTGCCCTCCGTGCCTGGCGCCAGTTTCAGAGTCCACCCCGGAAGCTCCAAGGAGGTTTTGAGCCAAAAACTTGGCAGTCAGGATGCACAGGCTCCAGGGGGTGGACGGCAAGGAGGATGCTGGTGGAGTGGAGTGTGGAGAAGGTCAGAAGGCCGTGAGGGCTGGAGGCGGGGTGGGGACAGGCGGTCTCAGGTCAGCTCATCCAAACGAAACTCTTGCTTTTCTCTCCTCCCCTGCCTGCCGCTACCATAATCTCAGAGCAGAGCAAGTCTGGTTTTCCTCCTGAATTTGCTGTGAATTGTTCAGTTCACACCCACCCCTATGCACTGCATCCCCCCTCCCCAACATTTAGTCACCAGATCCAGTCTTTCTGTTGAATCTGTTCTTTCCCCCTCTGACCATTGCCTTCATTCAGGTCCTCACTTTGCGACTGAATTGCTAACTTCCTTCCAGGTTGTGGACTGTTGGGAAGAAGTTGGCTCTTGCTGTGACACCCAATAAACACCCAAAATAAATGGCAGCTCTCAGGGAAGTTGGGACTCTTATTTTGAAGACCAGGAGGCTGGGATTCAGAGAGGTGACATTACTTCCCTAATAATGATTAACAAGTCTGGGGTAAGAACCCAGATCTCCTACCTGGGCATCAGGGGCAGCTCACATTGCTGGCCCGGCCTGGGAGCACTCAGCCCAGAACAGTCACCACAGAGCTGTCTTCAGGCGTCCCTGAATGGGGTCCACTCACCACTCACACCAGTGTTAGTCCTGTGGGGTTTTGGAGGAAAGTGCAGTGATCTTAGAACACGTTTCTCATCATTTCTATCTGTAATTTGTACTTTTAAGTAAATGAAGTCGTCGTTTTCAAGTTTGTTTGTGTGTGATCTCTATTCAAGTTTGTTTGTATGCTTTAGTCGCTCAGTTGTATCCAACTCTTTGCGACCCCATGGACTGTAGCCCGCCAGGCTCCTCTGTCCGTGGGGATTCTCCAGGCAAGAATACTGGAGTGGGTTGCCATGCCCTTCTCCCGGGGATTTTTACTGGGGTTAAATAGAGCATTTCCTAATACTCTTCTGCTATAAGGAACAGCTGAAAGAATAGAGGACGGGTGAAGAACAGAACTGTACTCTCATCCTCTCATTTTAGTAGCCAGTATAAAGACTCTTTATAAATGAGTCTTTTGCTTCATTTATAGAGAAAGTAATATCTGCTCTGCTTATCTGAGAGTTGATGTAAGTTTTGAGATAATGTGTGTGAAAGGACTCTTTAAGATGACGATTAGGAGGTAAGGTGCTATTATCTCGGGAAATAACCTCTTATTTGTTGATACAGTATGTGTTTTGTATATATGTGTACTCAGTCGCTCAGTTGTGTCCGACTCTGCGGCCCTTTGCACAGTAGCCCGCCAGGCTTCTCTGTTCATGGGATTTTCCAGGCAAGAATCCTGGGGTGGATTGCCATTTTCTCCTCCAGGGGATCTTCCTGACCCAGAGATCGAACTCTCATCTCCTGTGTCTCCTGCATTGAAGGCAGATTCTTTACCTGCTGAGCCATTGGGAAAGCCTGTTTTGTATATATACAGGATATTAAATATTTCTATAATTTGATAAGTGCCTCTTAGTCTCATATTTACAATGAAAACAGTTCCTATGTTTGAAGTGTTAAACTTCAGAGAAAGTTCAGATGTGGGTAGGGAGTATCGAGGAGGAGTACTCTTTAATACTAAAGTGTAAATTATTTATCTCCCTGGTTGCATGTGCTATATATGTATCCAGAGTTGCACCAGGGTGGAAACCTGTGTTCATTTTGTGTAACAGTTTTAAAGTGCTGCCTTGTTGGCTGAGTTGAGGCCTAGAACTATGTAACTTTTTGTAGCACAGTTTATCAGAATGTGAAGAACCTGATGCAGTTAGCTTGAAAGCTTCTGAGCTCATGCTGACAAATTGTACCGCTTTGTTGTTTTCATACATTTTGTTTTTTCACTACCATCCACTTTAAAATTTGTTTCTGAGTTGCCTTTTAGCTGTAATGGGTTCCTGTCTGTTTTCCAGTTTTGGGGGTTACTTTCTTTGTTATACATGTTTCGGTGAATTAAGAATTTCAGTTGCAGAAAGTGGTGACTTGGCTTACCTTGAGAAAACATAGTTTTACTGCAGGGAGGAGCAGGGAAGTCCCGTGGGGCAGAGCCCACTGATCCGGTGGGCCTTCTCTTGTGCTTGTCATCTGCTCCCCTTACTCAAACCAGATCCTTGAGGCAGCCAGTCTGTTGTTTTATCCAAGAAGAGTCTAATGCAACCCTCATTTCTGGGGTAATAGGAGAGAGGTTTATGCTGGTGAGATGCCATGTGACTGAGGGCATGCACTGTGGCTTGTGTGATATTCTTGTGTCATTGTGATCACAGTGTAGATCCTACTCATTCTGCCTTTAAAAGAAAAAAAAATTGTTTGGCTGCTGCAGTTCTTAGTTGCAGCACAGGGAATCTCCATCTTGTTTTTGGCATGCGAGATCTGTGGTTGTGGCATGTAAACTCTTATTTGCCGTATGTGGGATCTAGTTCCCTGACCAGGGATTGAACCCAGGACCCCTGCATTGAGAGCTTGGAATGTTAGCCACTAGACCACCAGGGAAATCCCCTTCTGTTTTGTTATAGCCTTAAAACTCAAACTCTTGCAGTGTTTGGCTTAGTCTCATTAATTCTTTTTACAGAATGTATACTGGTCCATCAAGTTCATGTTTCAAAACCTTTGCATTCTCTTTCTTTGATAAGAATTATTTTCATAGAATATAAAGCTCACAGTGGAATTACACTTTCAAATTGTCTGGGTTTTGTTTGCTTGTTTTAATCCCAATACAGATTAATCTGCCCAGAGTAAATCCTCACTGAGTGAATGAGCATGGGGATTTGCTGACTTGCATTGTTATCAACAATTTGTTTGTTAATTTGCTTAGTTTTCTTCAGTGCTAGGAATGAACAATGGTTGTTTTTTGTTTGGTTGTTTTTTATTTTGTTATTTGATAGGTGTGAACACTTGAATTCTTTAGTAGCAGTATTTTTAAGATACAGTATCTGTTTTTATGGGGAGGAAGACTGAGTTTTAGACCTAAATCTTCTGCTGGCCTGAGTGTTTATATACAAGGTCATATCCATTTTAGCACGACAGCCATTCATTTCTACTTACACCTTATTGATGAAGACTTTAAGCTTTTTAAAAATACTTTTATTTATTTGTTTTTATTTTTGGCTGTGCTGGGTCTTTGTTGCTGCATGGGCTTTTCTCTAGTTGCAGCGAGCAGGGGTTACTCTTGAGTTGCCATGTGCAGGCTTCTCATTGGGGTAGCTTCTCTTGTTGTGAGCATGGAGTCTAGGGTGTGTGGGCTTCAGTAGATGTGGCCCCTGGGCTCTAGAGAACAGGCTCAATAGTTGTTCCGGGGCTTAGTTGCTCCGAGGCAAGTGGGATCTTCCTGGATCAGGGATTGAACCTGTGTCTCCTGTATTGACAAATGGATTCTTTACCACTGAGCCATCACTGACTTATACTTTAAAGTATGTATCTAATCTGATTAAAGCATCTTAGATTTGAAAATATAATTGTTTGAACAGGTGATACATGTACATGGTATAAAATATTAGATATCCTTCTGAGTTCAGTCCCCTTTTCCCATCCCCACCTTCAGAGGCAACACATGTTTTGTTCTTGTACCCTTCCCGAAAGAGACTTTGCTCAATTAAGCATGTGTTTGTATGGTCATCATCTCCTGGTCATCCTCACAGGGCTGATGGGAGAATCTCTTTGTAGTATGGGCCAGCATATCAGATTAAGAACTACAGAAGTCTTGGTAAACAAATGACATAAATAAAATGTCAGAGGAAGATTTAACTTGACCTTTTGTGTGCACCAGTCTGTTTACTGTGCTCCAGGGGTCCCCAAGGGTTCTGCAGGCGCAGCTGATGGAGGGAGGGCAGGGGCCATCGGCAAAGCGCCGGGCCCGTCTCCACCTTGGGCCTGGAGACAGCCAGCTGGTCCTGTTGTGCATTTGCATTTCGGTTAAGACGGTGGGGGAGAGGAATCTAAGGTAAGTGAGAGGTGGCCAGCGCCAGGGTAGATGGTACTAGTAACCGTTGTGCTTCTCCTTCTGTTTCCAGATGTTTCTCACTGTGTACCTCAGCAATGATGAGCAGCACTTCACAGAAGTCCCTGTCACTCCGGAAACCATCTGCAGGGACGTGGTGGACTTGTGCAAAGAACCTGGCGAGAGCGATTGCCACCTGGCCGAAGTGTGGTGTGGCGCTGGTGCGTCGTCTTCAGCCGCGCCGTCTTTATTCTCATCAGTTTCAGAGAGGGCGGTGTGCGCCTCTCCTGTTGATCCATGGAGAAACTGGAGAATGGGGTGTCTAGCAGGGATCGTGCTTTCAGTCTAGTTTTGTTGCCGCCTCCAAAGTCTTTTTTTTTTTTTAATATTTATTTTGACTACGCTGGGTCCCAGTGCGACACTTGGGATCTTTAGTTGTGGCATGTGGGATCTAGCTCCCCGACCAGGGGAGGAGTCTGGGCCCTCCTCTATTGGGAGCGCGGAGTTGTAGCTGTTGAAGCACCTGGGAAGTTCCTCCAAAGTCCTCTTGCCGTTCTCTTTTACCGCAGCACATCATAGACGCTACAGTGTTAAAGGTCAAAGGATAGGCAGCTGATACACAGGGTGGCAGCTTCTGGGGGTGTTAGGGTAAAATGTACTGTACTCAGAAGTGCTTTTGGTATGCTTAGGTGGTTTCACTTCGTTAGAAATTTGAGGCATTCTGAGCCATTCTGATTGTCTTGCCATCTCTGAGTCTGGAGGTTTTTAGGGAGAGCTCTTCGGTATTGAGTTTCTATGGTGGCAGGAGGCAGTGGTGAAATCATAGTCATTATTTTAAGCCTTGAAATCTGTCCCTTACTTAGTTCTTTGGAGCCCTGAAATGGGACAGCCTGGTTTCTTTTTGGCCCTTTAGGAGTTTGTAGATGAAGGAGTAATTTTTCACGGGTTCTGCTCTATTCCTGTACAGCTTGGGTGAGCCCTTACTGTTTCCTTTTTCTCCCCTCTGGGTGCAGTTTGTCTAAGTGCACGTTTCCCACTGTGTTCACTGCATTCACACCGTTCGGGTGTGTGACTTCAGCGAACACCCTCTGCTTCCCATGTGAGTCTTCTTAATCATCTTTAGTTGATTTTCCTACAGCTGGGTGTTCGGGAAGACTTCCTTCATTCTCCCCGAGCTGCTTACTTCACATAGGAACTAGATTAGCTCATTTTTGTAAAGAAACCCAAGTGATCCTTTTTGTTTAAAAAAAAAAAAAATTTAAGTTTTTTTTTGACTGCGCCGGGTCTTGGTTGCATCACATGGGCTCTTCCTTGTGGTTTGCAAGATCTTTTAGTTTTTTTTGGCATATGGGATCTAGTTCCTGACTAGGGATCGGACCTGAGCCCCCAACATTGGGAGCATGGAGTCTTGGCCACTGGACCACCAGGAAAGTCCCCCTAAATGATCCTTATTAAACGAAAATTTGTTAGTTTGACTTTCTTGTTTTAACTTTTTTATTCTCCTTAGGATAAAATCCAAAGTCTTGATTTTAGATTGTGAGGTCTTTAATGTCATCTGGCACCGTTTTCCTCCTTGCTTGCCTCCTGCAGCTGTTTTTATGTTCCTGGATAAATGAAACTGTTTCCCACCTCAGAGCCCCTGGTGCCAGCTGCTTCTGCTGCACTCCCAGATTTTGTCGTTGCTGGTTCCTTCTGGTCATTTGGATTGCAGCTGACACGTTGGCTCTTCGGAGATGTTTCTTCTGAGCTTCCCCCTAAAGCAGGCACAGGGTTCTCTATTACATCATCCCGGTTTGATCCTGTGCATGAGACGTGTCTGTCTGGTTTTTGTGTGTGTTTATTAATCTGCTGCCTCTTTAATCCGCACAGCCTCACACACACGCACGAGAATGTAAACTCCTTAAGAGGAGAGACCTGCTTGTCTCATTCCTTGCTGTGCCCCAGCTCAGAGGGAGTGCTCAGTAAATATTTATTGAAAGAATACACGAGCTTCTAGCTGCTCTGGTGGCCTCCCTGCATTCTGCAAATAACTTGCCCGAAGAAAAGTGATTGAGACCATGCACTGTGAGCTTCCTCACTCTCCTCCCCCGGTGCTTGCCTCAGGTTCCTCTGGATGTGCGCCCACCCTTCTTTCTGACTTTCTTCCTTTGCCAAGGCTCACCCTCTCCCTTGAAACTCTTGATTCCACTGTTTCCCTTTCCTCTCTAGTATCTTGCTCACTTGGGTTCAGTAGTCCTTGCTATGTAATGAGGATGTTTAAAGGATTTTCTTTCTTCTGTTTTTTTTTAATTAAAAAAAAAAAGAGAGACCACATGAATGGATTCTTTTTTGTAAGGCAAATAATACAGATGGAATGGAAATCTCTCCCACAAGCCCATCTTGTGTCGCTTGATGTATAATTGCTTATAATTTTAGCAGATAACTTTTCAGACTTTTCTCTGTAACTATAGAAATAGTTTTGTGTCCTCTCTTATTTTTTCTTCATGTAACAGTATCATACATCTCGCTATCTGCAATTTCTCACTTTAACTTACAGTATAGCTTGGAGGTCTTTTCTGATTAGTCTTTTCTGATTCTTGTAGGTCTTTTCTACACCATTGTTTTTAATTATCATAATTTTCCATACTATTATGCACAAACTGCAGTTGATCTCTAACCATTTCTTTATTCACTAACATTTAAATTAATTCTCTTGTTTCTATAAATGCTGCAGGAGAAGGTCTTGTAGGAGCCTTTTGGTCATGTGCAAACATTTCTTTAGGGTAGATAACCCAGAAGTGGGATTGCTTGCTTAAAGGTTCACACATTTTAAATTTGAATATATTTCACCAGATTTCCCTCAGCAAAGGCTGTAGAAATTCACACTTCTACCAGTCTTTTCTAAAAGTATCCCTCATCAAAAAAAGATACTAATACAATAAAATTCTTACTTTTGCTAAGCTGATGCTGAAGTTGCTCATTTTTCATTTGTCTACTGGCCACTTGGATTTCCATTGGAACAAAAAAAAGATTGTTTCATCATAGTCTTTGCTCATGTCTCTTTTGACTTTTGCCTTTTTCCTTCTTGATTTGTCGGTGTTATAGAAAAACACAACTCTTCTAGAACTCAGGCCTAGTTGTATGTTGTTTAAAAAAGTCTTTTCTTTATGTCAAGGCTGGAAACATAGTCTGCTGTTGTTTTGTACCATTAAGTTTTAAAGTTTTTTCCCTTCCCTCCTCACCCTCCCCTTCTTCTTTCTCATTAATTTTTCTGACTAGTGTGAATTAGAGATCTAATATTTTTCCCCCAGGTGGATAGTGAATTTTTTTAAGTGTTTTATTGAAAACACTTGGTTTCTTCCTTACTGATGTGAAACTTCACTTCATATTCTTGTTATATCTCATAGGAAGTATGTTTCTATAAGCTTCAGCCAGTTACTTTTATTTTTTTTCTTCTATTTATGATAGGACCAAATAGTTGTGTTTTTTTTTTAATTTAATTTTTCTTAGTTTTTAAATTATGAAAATATGATAACTCATTTACAGAGACTTAGGAAATATAGAACAGGGTTACATATAGTTCCACTATACATTGCAATCATTTTTTTAGTAAATAAATTTTTTACTTGGAGTTTCAATATCAAACCCTCAAAAATTAATAAAATGAATATACAGAGAAGTAGAAGGATATAGTAGGCCTGAAAAGTACTATGAACCACTTCAAGATAATTAAGAATTATACAATTTTTACACAGCAGTAGCATACTCTTAGGTTCCCATAGACTGTAACCTAGGAGAGAGTGGAATACATCCAGTGACATGAGACCAGATGCAAAAATTTGATGAGGACCAAATAGTTTAAGTTTACTCTAGTTTTATAATAGATTAGGTATCTGTAAAGGCAGCTGCTTATTTCATTGTGCTCCTGTACTGTTCTTGCATATTTTCTTTTTCAGATATGTTTTAGAATTGAAAGTTTCCATGAAAAGTTCTTTGGGAATTTTGATTGGTTGCAGAGAACTCATTAATTAATTTGAAGGTTCTTTGTATGATGTTGTGATTAAGAGCAAGGTCATGGGTATGAGCATCTTGTCTCTTCATTTACTAGCTTTATAACTTCAGACAAGATACTTAATCTCTATAATCCTTACTTTTTTTCCTACGGAATTGGGATAATAAATGAATCTATTGCCAGGATTGTGTGAGAATCCTGGGAGCTGACATTTGAAGGGGGCTTAGCATAGGCCCTGGCGCATTTAGTGTTCACACTCAACAAGTAATAGCTGTTACGTTTTCAACTCCTCTTTTTTTTTTTTTTTGCTGTAACTTGTCCAAGGTGTGCCATTTTAAAAATAGTAAATCTGTTACTTCTACTTTGTTAGCTTCTCAAGTTTCCCATTTCCTTTAACTGTCTTTTAAAATAAGTAGCTTTTGGGACTTCCTTGGCAGTCCAGTGGTTAAGACTGTGCATCCAACACAGAGGACACAGGTTCGATCCCTCTGCAGGGAGCTGAGATCCCACATGCCGCTTGGTCAAAAAGTAAAAATTTAAAAAACGGTAGCTTTCATTTGCCATCTCCATTTTCTTACTCCCCACTGGTTTATTTGCTGAGAGAACGTATCTTGGATTCTTGTTATTTGCTAGGAACTGTGCTTGACTATAAAGAAGAGAAAGATGAAAGTGTGCTGTCAGAGTAAAAGCAGGAATTAGCAGACATTTCTCTCATACAGGGTGATGACTTCAGGAACAGATGAAGGTGCTCCATCTGCAGAAGGAGAAGAGGGTGCTGGGGACAGTTCTCAGTGCTGGAAATGGCTTGTTCAAAGTCACATAGGCATAGATGCCAGGACGAGGGACGGGTTTCATTGGAGCATGGGGTAAATGGGTGGCTTTGAGAACCTTTGAAGTGTATTTCAGCTTGTGCTGGCCTAAGTCTGATATATACATTTTGTCACTGAGGCCATTAGGACCTTAGCTTCTAGACCTAGAAGGTCCACACTCAACATGGACTGGAAGTCACTTCATCTCTTTTGAAATAAAGTGTGTGTGTGTGTGTGTGTGTGTGAGAGAGAGAGTGTGATTTTTGTTTTTGTGAGGAGGTGGAGGGTCTGCATGGACTGGAAATCACTTCATTTCTTTTGAAATAAAGTGTGTGTGTGTGTATGATTTTTGTTTTTGTGAGGAGGTGGAAGGGCTGCCCAGAATTTCTTTCAGGAAGGTATCTGCTCAGCTCAGGGTGTTTCCTCTTGGGGGAGTCTTAGTTAGACTTTCTCTGGTTTAGAGAAGAGGGTATCTGTGTCTACTTATTACCTCATGTTGCTGTAAATAGAACCCAAGCTGTACTTTGTTGCCACCAAGCCGATTAAGTTCAGGGTTAGTTCACAGAATTGGCTGCTGAACCTTTGGCTGCTCCCTTGTGTGCCCATGTTGTTTATTTAAGGTACTCAGTGTCCTTGATTACTGACAAGTGCATTGAATTTGGGGGGGGGCATTGCAGCATTCTTACATTAGAAATGATTTCTTTGATTTTAAACCGTTGGCATCCTCAAACAGTATATTTGGGTTTTATGTTCAGATTCCTTAAGATTGGAAGATTACAGTTCCCATGTAGTAGAGTATTTAGCTATGCCTCTTTTTTTTTTTTTTTTTGTCTCAAGGAATATTTTCAGGGCAGTAAACAGACTTTTGTTTGGAAATGCATGTGTATGATTTTTTTTTTTTAAACATGGTTTGTAAAATTGTCAAAAAAAATCCCCAATAGAAAGACAAGGCTGTTTAGAAAGTTGTTTTTAAGTTTTCGTTCGTATACCTGGAGAATCATAGAACTATTAGAGTTAACAGAGACCTCAGAGACCATCGTGTGAAATAGATGACAGGAACTCTGGAACCTGCAGAGCTTCACGGCCTGCCTTGAACTAGTGAGGGGCCACTGAATCCAACTCCTGAGCTGTAGCCGGTGGCCCTGACCCCGTCCTTTCCTACCCCCATATTCCACCTGGCTTTGACCCTGATTATGTGGGTGGTAAGCTGGTGATACTTCATTTTCTAAGGGTTCTTTTTTTTTTTTTAAAAAGGTCCTTGATAGTATTTTCTTCATTCATAACGCATAATTTGTATGAAGGGTAGACAGTAAGTGATGTGTTACCAGGTAACATGATTTATTCGTTTCTTTTAGAACGTCCAGTTGCCGATAATGAGCGAATGTTCGACGTCCTGCAGCGGTTTGGAAGTCAGAGGAGTGAAGTTCGGTTCTTCCTTCGCCACGAACGCCCCCCTGGTAGGGATGTTGGTAGGTAGCGTCCCTGTTGATCATGACAAAGATTCAGACTTCAGTTTCATGCTCGGGAGAGGTGACCCGTGATCAGGAGCAGGCAGTTTGATGGATGAGTGAGCAAGAAGCAAGGGGGAACAGTGAGGATAGCCCTCTCTCCCAAGCCCTGACTCTATAGCGTGGGCAGAAAAGGGTGAGGTTCTGTTTGTTGTGTTTTGTTGGAAGATGGGAAAAGCTTGATGACAGGTTTTTTTTTTTTTTAATGTTTTATTTTTTGGCTGCACCACACGGCATGTGAAATCATAGTTCCCCCACCAGGGATCAGTCCTGTGTCCCCTGCCTTGGAAGAACAGTCTTAATCACCAGACCACCAAGGAAGTCCCCTGACTACAGCTCTTAATATGGGCGGGAAGGAAAGGAGTCAGTAGAGCAGGGGTTTGAAATACAAGAAGGAAGGGAATGCTCGATGGGCAAGTTAGCCAGGGGGAAGTTTGGGGGCGAGGGGGGCGAGGGGTGAGTTAGGAGGGTAAGGGAAGGGTCTGTTCCATTTTAACAGGGTGGAAGGGAAGCTTCCCAGAGGCAGTAAATGGGTGCTCTCTATGGGAGCAGTGGGAGGGGCCTCTCATCTGAAAACGCTTGTCTTCTCTGGGGGAGGAGGCCCTGGTGGAGACTAGGAGAGAGTGTGGCCAGGGGACCGGCAGGCCAGGGCCCGTAGCGCACAGTGGAGACGAGGCACCAGGAGCCCACGGGTGAGTTTGCCGCGGTGGTGCTCTGTACCCCAGAGGGTCGTAGAGGAGAAGATGGTGGGATGGACCCAAGGTTGGCATTTGGCCAGACACGTTCAGTGGAAAGTTGGTGAGACAAGGAGAAACAGGATGTTGGCGAGATGGCATTCAGGCAGAGATGGGGATGAAGTGAAGGCAGAGGGGCTGCAGGGAAAGAAACTGCAAGTTTCAGGTTATTGAACAGGTATAGCGAGAGGTAACTGCGGTCAAAAAGAAAGAAGTTTGAATTTAACATGTCAGGAAGAGGGCATTTCGAGATAACGTGGTCTTGTACTGGACCATGAAATAAACCTGAATTAGAGAGGAGACAGGAAGTTGTGGATATGAGAGGCAAGCTTTTAGATGGTGAGGTCTTCCAAAGTGAAGGGGGGACTTGGGCAAAGAGAACCGGGGTGGGGGGGGTCATATGGTCACATCTGCTATGACTGAGAGTTGTGACCAGAGTTTCTAGATGATGGTAAGCAGAGGGTAGAAGGTGAAATGTGGAGATCAGAAATGGTTGGCTGAAAGCAGCACTAGACATTGAGAACACAGTCAAACCTGTGACTCTGGAGGTCTCATAGGATGTAGGAGAGAAAACAGTTTCAAGTCTTGAGATCTGTAGGGAAGCCTTTGTTCTCAGCGGAAAGCCATTGGTTGGAGCTGGGTTACTAGGTGTTTTTAAAAATGTTGGGATACTTAAAGTGGAAAGTTGAAGGTTTGTGACTTTAGTATATATTGAAAAATTCTTGAGAGTTAGAATGCCAATAACAGAGGTTAATTATTACATGTTACAGAATTTAAGTTTTATTCCTTTAGTACAGATGTCCATATGGCAGCCATTTGACATTATCAGAGGTGTGAGAGACCCCAGAATTGACTTGGTCTGGTCTCTTCTGCTCTATAGATGATAAACACTGATACTTAGGGGTAAGATGCCTTGTCAGAGGCCACATACCAGGAGGCAGAGCCAGGAGGGGAACCTGAGTCTCCTTATCCTGGCTGGTTCCTCGGCCTTTGGGCTTCACTGTGTCTGTAATTCTATTTTAAATAAACATGCACTTTCCCCCCCCAAAGCTGCCTTGTTTTTTGTGATTTTGACATCTGCATCTAATTTTTATTTTGCTCTTTATTTACATTATTGGATATATCTCCTGTTGATCAATTAGTTGAATTTTCTCCCTTCATCCGTCAGTTCAAATATCTTCCTCTGTGGTACCTGGTAAATTATTAAATAGCTTCTCAATAGTGCAATATGCAGTTTCAGTGTGTCTGCAATGTGAGAAATACAATCTGAAGATAAAGGTGCTGTTTTTACATTGTTGCAAAACACCAGTGCCACATAGTGTCAAAACTGGTATAAAACAGGATTGCTCTTTAGTGTCAACCTTTGTGGTTCTAGACGTCTAGATTACAGATTAAGAGACTGTTACTGTATTCTTTTTCTGGTTTAACTAGGACCTGTGACCCAGAATGTATGACTTTTTTTTTTTTTTTTGCCACACCATGCAGCATGTGACCCAACCAGGGGTCAAACCCATGCCCCCTTCAGTGAAGGCGCTGAGTCAACCTCTGGACCACCACCATGGAAATCCATTACCTTTTTCTCTTTTTTTAATATGACATTATTTCCAAAGCTCTTGCTTTTTATTCTAATTATGTGACTGAACATGCCAGTTCAGTTGCTCTCTCTTGGAGGCAGCAAAGAAAGCAATTATTCCTGAATGATAGATTTTTCTTTTTTCTAGCAGAAATATTGTGACAGGTACCTGAGCTATTTTGCCAGAAAAATGAACAGTTTTAAAAGTAAAGCTGAGAAAATGTTGGAATTAGGTATAAGTGTGGTACGTGGCTCTGAGGATAGACATATTTATTTACTTATTTGTGGGAATTTGTGCCAAGCTTCCAGGCAGATACAACAAACATTTGATTCAGAAGAAATTTTAATCTAAAACTTCTTGGGAAGTAGTTTAGTTTTTTTTCTCTAACATCTGGTAAGTACAGTTATGAGCTTAATTTCATGTATTTAAGAAACTCTCTTTGATATTTTGCAATTTATCAGTTTAAGTTAAAACTGTTTTCTCATCATGATACATTAAGTGACACTGAGAAACATATATTTGGACCTGAAAAGTTCTTTTTACCCAAAAAAGCAGAATGTACAGTTTGCCAACTAGTACTTTGCCACGCTAAGAAAATGAAATTTTTTTTACTTAAATGGGGAAGTACTTGCTAGTACTTAGGAATTACCGCAAAATTCGAAACACTACTTGTTCTGTTTCAATTGCTTCCTTCCCGTGGAAGTTACACACACTTTAATGAGTACAAGGGTGGGTTGATTAATTTTCACCTATTTCTTTCAGTGAGACTATTCCCAATTTTATTTCTGAGTAGCTAAATAGAGAACTGGGAACAGACAGTGTAGGCAAATGGCATGAGTGACCCATAATAAGAAGTATATTTATATTCTTAATTTTTCTCCTTTAGCACCTGACTCATGCAGCTTTTCTAGGGAATGGTTAGCATGTGACGTTTTCTAGTGCTGACTGTTCACTGTTCCAAGTAAAGTTTTCTAGAACAGGTTGAATCTGTGAGACCTTAACTTCATTGGTATTAGAAAGTATTGATATTTTAAGTATATTTTCAACTTTAAGTACTAGAGAACATTAATAACATAACTGAGAAATGAACTGGTACTTAAAATATCTGTCACCTCTAGTGTTAATGCATACTTTTTGAATTTTGTGCTTAGTGAGTGGACCAAGGTCTCAGGATCCAAGTTTAAAAAGAAATGGTGTAAAAGTTCCAGGTGAACATCGAAGAAAGGAGAATGGCGTAAGTGATCATTTTACCCATTTGTGTTTGGACCACAGTGATGCTGTTTTTTTAACTTTTAATTTCATTCACTGTTACTTTTTTATTCAGTAGGTGATTAAGGGCAACCCCTTTTTAAAGGCTTATTTTAAATTTATTTCATGAGAAAGTGATTAATGATCTCTATGGTTGTTGAAATATCCAACAACCTTAGATATGCAGATGATACCATTCTAATGGCAAAGAGTGAAGAGGAACTAAAGAGCCTCTTGATGAGGGTGAAAGAGGAGAGTGAAAAAGCTGGCTTGAAACTCAACATTCAAAAAACAAAGATCTTGGCATCTGGGCCCATCACTTCATGGCACATAGAAAGGGAAAAAGTAGAAGCAGTGACAGATTTTATTTTCTTGGGCTCCAAAATCATTGCGGATGGTGACTTCAGTCATGAAATTAAAACACGCTTGCTCCTTGGAAGGAAAGCTGTGACAAGCCTAGACAGCAATTGAAAAAGCAGAGACATCATTTTGGTGACAAATGTCTATTTAGTCAAAGCTGTAGTTTTTCCAGTAGTCATGTTTGGATGGGAGAGTTGAACCATGAAGAAGACTGAGTGCCAAAGAATTGATGCTTTTGAACTGTGGTGCTAGAGAAGACTCTTGAGAGTCCCTTGGACTGCAAGGAGATCAAACCAGTCAATCCTAAGGGAAATCAACCCTGAATATTCATTGGAAGGACTGATGCTGAAGCTGAAGCTTCAGTACTTTGCCCACCTGATGTGAAGAGCTGACTTACTAGATAAGACCCTGATACTGAGAATGATTGAAGGCAAAAGGAGAAAGGATGGCAGGATGAAATGGTTACATTGCATCACTGACTCAATGGACATGAATTTTAACAAACTCTGAAAGATAGTGTAGGACAGAGAAGCCTGGACTGCTAAAAGTCCATAGGGTCACAGAGAGACACGAATTCATGACTGTACAGCAACAACGTGGCTGTTAAAAAAAGTCAGATGCTGGATATATCACAAATACAGAACAAGTATTGAATAAGTTCGAGGAAGTATTTGTTTTTTTTGGTGATTTTATTTGTTGCTGTTATTGCTTTTAGCATTAATGATATATTAATGCTCTTGCTATTGCATATGAATTTTAGCAGGTGTCTTTGGGACTCCTTGTAGACATTTTCTTTTCAGACCTTAGAATTTTTAACATTGTTAGGGATTAGCTAAATTACCTCTCCAATCCACACTGCTTTTATTCCACCTTCCCCAAATTCTTCCTATTTCTCTTCTTTGATCTCATAGTTATCTTAGTGATGAAAGGCTTATATGAGGATAACAAAAATGGTCTGACTGTTAATGAGATTTCAGTGTATCTTGACACAATGTATCTTTCCCCATCACTGGATTTTTATTTTTTTTTAAATGATTTATTTATTTTTTGGCCTTGCCGTGAGACATGCAAAATTGTAGTTCTCCAACTAGGGATCAAACCCGTGCCCCCCACAGTGGTAGCTTGGAGTCTTAACCACTGGACTGCCAGGGAAGTCCCATCACTGTTTTTTTTTTTTAGTTTTTTTAAATTATGAAAATATTATAACACTTAAACAATTTTTTTAAATTTATTTATTGGCTGTTCTGGGTCTTTGTTGCTGCTTGGGCTCTTCTCTCATTGCAGCAAGTAGGGTTCCTGTCTGGTTGCATTGTGTGGGCTTTTCATGTAGTGACTTCTGTTGTTGCAGAGTATGGACTCTCTGGCCCACAGGCTTCAATAGTTGCAGTTCCCAGGTTCTAGGGCACAGGCTCAATAATATTTGTGGCACACAGGCTTAGTTGCTCCGTAGCATGTGGGATCTTCCCGGACCAGGGATTAAACCTGTATCTCCTGCATTGGCAGGTGAATCCTTCACTACTAAGCCACCAGGGAAGCCCCCTTCACTGGGTTTTTAAATAATGTCTTTATTAATATATAATTGACGTGTAATAAACTATACATAGGGCTTCTCTGATGGCTCAGATGATAAAGAATCTGCCTGCAATGTGCGAGACCTGGGTTCATTCAGTCCCTGGGTTGGGAAGATCCCTGGGAGAAGGGAATGGCAACCCCCTCCAGAGTTCTTGCCTGGGGAATTCCATGGACAGAGGAGCCTGGCAGGCTCTGTGGGGTCGAAAAGAATTGGACGTGACTAAGTGACTAACACAACACAACAACAAACAAGCTGCTCACATGTTGGGTATACATTTTGATGAGTTTTGACTTGTGTACACCTCTGAAGCTGTCACCATAATCAAGATAATGAACATATTTGATCACCCCCCCCCCCCCAAAAGAGTTTCCTTATATTCTTTTGTAATCGTTCCTTCTTGCCTCCCTTCCCATCCTCAGGGAACTGCTAGGTGGTCTGCTGTCTGTCACCATAAATTAGTTTTGTTTTCCAGAATCTAGGATAAATGGAGTCATTCAGTATATGCTCTTTCTGTCTGCATTTGCTCAGGATAAATAGTTTGAGGTTTATTCATTTTGTTGTGTATCAGTAGTTGATTCCTTTGTATTGCTAAGAGATAATCTGTTGTCTGGTTATACCACTCCTTATCCATTCCTCTGTTGATGGACATTTTGATTGTTTACAGTTATTCTATATCATGCTGTGATAAGTACTTGGATATACATCTTTGTATGGACATATGCTTTTATTAATATTTCTCTTAAGTAAATACTTAGGAGTAGAATGGTTGGTTCATTTGTTAACTTTTTAAGAAGCTGTCAGACTGATTTCCAAAGTGATTGTTTTATCGTCCTCATCAGAGAGTTCTAGTTTTTCCACATCCTTGCCAACATTTGGTATGGTCAGTCCTTTTAATTTTGGCTTCTGCTAGGTGTGTGGTGGTAGTACATTCTGGTTTTATTTTGTATTTCTCTGATGGTTAATGGTATTGGGCATCTATCATGTGCTTATTTGCCATTCATATATTGTCTTTAGTGAAGTGTTAATATTTGTTCACTTTTTTTTTTTTAATCATATTGCAGGGCTTTTGGGATTTCACTTTCCCAGCCAGGTTTTGAATCCAGGACATGGCAGTGAGATAACTGAATCCTAACCTTTAGACCACTAGGGAACTTCCTGTTCACCTCTTCTGCTTATCTTTTTCATGATTGGGTTGCTTGCTTCCTTATTGAGTTTAAGAGTTCTTTATATATGCTGGATCCAAGGTTTTTTATTAGATAATTGGCAAATATTTTTCCCAGTTTATGACTTCAATACAGTATAATTAATCAGCTTAGAAGTTTTAGATCTTACATGTGAGTTTAGGATCCATTTTGAATTAACATTTGCATATATTGTGAGAGAAGTGCATTTTGTTTATTGTGTATGGATATCCAGTTGTACCAGCAGTATTTGTTGAAAAGACTATTCTTTCTCTACTCAATTGCCCATTCTCTTAACTCAGTTACCAGTGTATGTGTGGGTCTGTTTTTGTACTCTGCCTTCTGTTTCATTGATCTGTTTATCTAACATATCAGTAACACAATGTATTGATTACTAAAGCGTGGTTAGTCTTGAAGTCAGGCAGCGTATGTTTTCTAACTCTTCTTTTCGAAGTTGTTTTGGCTATTCTGTATCATTTGTACTTCCATATGAAATTGTAGAATTTGCCAATTGATTTATTTGTTTATAAATCAGAGTCGATATTCTCTTGACTCTGTAGGTCACTATGGGAGACATTGCCATCTTGACAGTATTGAGCTTTTTAGTTCACAAGCACCACATTATTCCTCCCCAAATAGGTCTTCTCTCAGCCATGTTTTGAAGTTTTCAGTGTCAGGCCTGAGCATCTGTCAGATTTATTCTTGAGTGCTTCATAGTTTTTATGCTGTTAATGATATTAAAAAATTTCTTTTTTCAGTTTCTGGGTGTTGCTAATGTATAGAGATATAATTGATTTTGGCATATTGATGTTTTATCCTGCATTCTTGCTAAATAACTTATTAGTTCTGGTAGCTTTTTATAGATTCCATAGACTTTTCTTCATAGATGATTATATTGTCTTTGAGTAAAGACAGAAGATTTTTCCCTTTGCAATCTGGATATAGTTTCTTTCTTCTTGCCTTCCTTTCTTTCTAGCCAGAACCTCTTAGGATCATGTCGAATGGATGTTTAGGGAGTATAGTAGACATCTTGCTTTGTCTCTGATGACCTACTGTATCTTGAATTTTTTAAATTCCAGTGTTACCTTTTTTAAAGGATGTTTTGATGACTGTATTCCAAGTTTGCTGCCAATACCCCAACATCATGTTTGATATGGTCAAACACTGCCTTCCTAATTTAACTATAGAACAAGGTGATTCCAAATTGTTCCATTTGTGTCAGTACTGAAACTATTTAATTTAAATTTACAACTTAAAAGAGTCTGTGTATCATTATGTTTTAAATCTTATTAAGTCAATATGGGAATATTAATATAAAAATTAGTGACTTCTTTAGTATGATGGGAGAAAAATAGCCAAATAATTTTGTCATGATTGCATGATTTGAGGGAGGAGTCTCCATGATCATTTTATACTGAGTTGGAGTATTTGCACTTTTTTTGGTAGGTTAATAGTCCTAGAATGGATCTGACACTTGCTGAACTTCAGGAAATGGCATCCCGCCAGCAGCAACAGATTGAGGCCCAGCAACAAATGCTGGCCACTAAGGTAATGGCCATGTTTTCAGAGACCTAGCAGGCCACTCCCGTTCATGTGTAAGTAAAGCTGTTTGCACTCCACCCTTGCTAGTAAGCTGGTTCCCTCAAATATGAGTTGATAACATCAGCCTGACAGGTATCTGCCATGTGGTGCTTTCTTCTCTTCACTGTAGCGTTTTGTAGAAATCCTGAAATCATTCAGTTGTTTTAGATCCTCCTTGCCCCAATCCTGATCAAAGTTAACCACGCTATGCTGAGTGTCAGTAAAACAGGGAAGGCGTAAAGAGCCTTTTAGCTTTGCTTGCAGGCGCTAGCCTGGGCTGACTTCATCTTAAATCGGGAGGAACTTCAAAGTCTCATGCTCACCTGTCCCCAGCTGCTACTTGGCACCGATAACAGGCTGCTTGCCTCTACTTGGGGACATGCTCCACCCACAAATTAAAGCTTGTCCTCTCCTTGAACAGAGAAAATATGGAAAGTTTCTCCATTACGCTCAAAAGCAGTCTTCCTGCGGGTGCTCCTGCCAGCCTTGGGCTAATAGTCTACAGCTGTCGTCACGCTTTCTGAAGGGCTGAAATATTTTAGGCTTTGCAGGCTGTACAGTCTCAGCTCTGCATTTGTGGCTGGAAAGCAGCCATAAACAATGGGTGAACGAATGGATGTGGCCATGTGCCAAGAGAACTTTGCTTACGAACACAGACAATAGGCTGTGTAGTCTGTCAGCCTTGGTCTAAACACTCAGTGTCTTTGCTGACCAGTCTTTGAGGGTCTGTACGTTCACTGACACTGGGGTGGACACCTGAGGGTTTGAGTAGCAAGGTCCCCAGCACGGCTTTGAAGTGATGGCCAGGGATTTTTCAACATCATTCTCAGCACGCACTGTGGCCTTCCCTGTAATACTTCGTAGGGTTCCTATGCATCCTTTTCTTTTCTTAACACTTAAAATATATATTGAAGTTACAAATCAAACTTTTCCATATGGTTCCCATGTAGAAAACACAATATTTAAAGGTATTCAATAGCTATTTTTTTATACATCAGATGGTTAGTGGCCTCAAATGTACCTGTGCATCCTTTTCTACTTTTGATGCTAGACACCTGCTTTTTCGAAATCCTGTGTAACGTTGCTTCTCATACTTTTAACGTGCATATGAATCACCTAGGGATTTTGTTAAAAATGCATGTTCTGATTCAGTCGGTATGGGTTGGGGGTCTGTCATTTTGCATTTCTAATGTGATCCCATGTGGTGCTGATGCAGCATTCCTTGAGTAGCAAGGACATGAATTCAAATAAAAAATTTGATTGTTAACAGAATAAATCTTTAAAATCAAGGTCTTATTTTGAAACTGTGTTCTTGTATGTGCTAGCCACCCAGATCTGAGAAGTTTACTCTTGAGTATAAATTGTGTGGCTCTGTTTATCCTCAGTTGAAATTTTAGATATAATAGGAATAAAATTGTAAGTTGCATAATTACAGTTTTCTAAAGGCATTCTTTAGAAAGTAGTTCTTTGGCTCTTTACTCAGGGTACCGAGTGTGCCCTAACTATGTAAGATGCTGTTCACAGAGATTTCCATTGCACGTTGCATCGAATCCTCACTGCAGCCCTAGAGGGACTAGTGATCATCTCATTTTATAGGTGAAGACACAGACTTGTGGACTCAATGAGGTTATGTAATTTGCCCCAAAGTCTCATAGCTAATAAGTGGCAGAGCTTGAGTCTGAATCCAAATTTAACTTCAAAGTGTGTCATTTAATAACTTTCTTTTACCGCTTCCCATCTCTGCATGAGCTCCTTCTTAAAATTAATGGCTGCAGCTCATGAAAACTAGTTCACAGATCACTGCTTGCTTGCAGCAAAAAAGACCACTTAGATAACAGTACTGATTCCTGGATCTTACCGCCTTAAGAAGTAGATTCTAGGGTTGAGCTCGGGAGCATGTTTTTCACAAACTCCCCAGGTGGTTCTGATGGCAGGGTGAGGACAGATGGTAAGACCAGAGCGATGCCATAGATACACGTCAGTCTGGGCATCTCAGGGTGTGATTGTAGGTTAGTGGTCTGCTGTTTAAAATGACAAGTTTGATGATGGCTTATATCTTTAGGAACAGCGGTTGAAGTTTTTGAAACAGCAAGATCAGCGTCAACAGCAACAAGCAGCTGAACAAGAAAAGCTTAAGAGGCTCAAAGAAATAGCTGAGAATCAGGAAGCGAAGCTGAAAAAAGTGAGAGCACTTAAAGGCCACGTGGAACAGAAGAGGCTAAGCAATGGGAAACTTGGTGAGTTGTCCCAGTAAGTTTACTTCAGTGCTAAATGCTGCAAACTGTTTGCGTATAGAAAAACCCTGGTGTAGGAAGTTTGTGTAAATTCGTAATAAGTAAGAGGACTAAGATGAGACTTGGTATGTAGGTCACTTTAAAAGGAATTTTTGGGAAAAGTATAATTCACTGAAGTTTTGAAGCTGCTGGTTCCCCTGAATTGAATTCAGCTATTGAATGTTTTAGACAAGGTTGCTTTTAGGAAAATAGAGTAGTAGTTTTTTTTTTTCTGTCTCTCAAAATATTTTTGTGACTGAAGGTTCAATGAAGGCAAGGATTTTTATTCATATTAATAGCTCCATTGATTATAATACCATTTTAATTAAAACTTTAGTGATTTGGTTTATAGATGTCTTTGTTGGTTTCAGTTGCTTATAAAGGAATCGGTTGGTTCTAGGACACTTCTGAAAATTTTCTTTGCTTTTTATGAGAAAGTTTATGGTACATCTTAGGTTGCCCGGGAAGCAATCCCTTCTCATTTTTCTTTTCAACAATTGTTGCTTTTCTCGTTCTTCCTTTAGTGGAGGAAATTGAACAGATGAATAGTTTGTTCCAGCAAAAGCAGAGGGAGCTTGTTCTGGCTGTGTCAAAAGTAGAGGAACTTACGAGACAACTGGAGATGCTGAAGAACGGCAGGATTGACGGTCACCATGACAACCAGTCCGCGGTGGCTGAGCTCGATCGGCTCTACAAGGAGCTTCAGGTAAACAGTGGCCTCTTGTGACATTTCGGTGGCACCTCTTCTCCAGCACCACAGCATTGTCCACATACAGGCCAGGAAGCCCTGGATTTCCACCTCTTTTCCTTAAAGGGGTGGGGACGGGGAGGAAGACCTAAGCTCCACAGAATCCAGAATAAACTTTATGATACCTCAGACAGGAAACTTGAGGCCTTCATTGTGACCACAGCTGGTGGTCTAGCACTTCATTTTAAACCATGAGATGAGAAGTGTGGAGGGACCGTACATTTTTAGAAATTATATAATAGTGAACCGTGTGATTATCTGTTTGGGAAATTTTTCTGCCTACTCCTCGGCTACTTTTTTCTCCCCTAATTTTACTCAGTTAAGAAACAAACTGAACCAGGAGCAGAATGCCAAGCTGCAACAACAGAGGGAGTGTTTGAATAAGCGCAATTCAGAAGTGGCGGTGATGGACAAGCGTGTTAATGAGCTCAGGGACCGGCTGTGGAAGAAGAAGGCGGCCCTGCAGCAGAAAGAGAACCTTCCAGTAAGTGCGCGGTTGGCCGGGGCCAGGGGGAGGGGACAGTGACCATCCCAGTGAGGCCGGTGCTTGCGTATTTCAGAAACACTGCTGGGTGCATCCTTGGAAGAGAGACAGGGCCTGTGGCTCCTTGAGAGAGAGTCCACTTTTCTTGTACTTTTAATATTATCCCCTCCGTAGCTCTGCTCTTCTTTCTAATTCTTGTAATGAAGTGTGGGTGAGACTTCACCCGGGGGTGTTTTTGTCGGGGGACGTTTCTGGTACACTCGATGGCTAGATCTTGAAAGTGCTGGATTTTAGCAGTTAAAATGATCATGGTGTCACGGGTTTTTCTGAGTTGGATCCGGCCTGACTTGCAATACTAAAGGCCCCGTGCTTTCTCCGAACAAGGTCTCGTCTGATGGACACGTGCCCCAGCCGGGGGCGTCGGGGCCGAGTCGCGTGGCCGCGGTCGGCCCCTACATCCAGTCGTCGACTATGCCCCGGATCCCGTCGCGGCCTGAACTTCTGGTGAAGCCAGCCCTGCCCGACGGGCCCGGGGCCATGCAGGCTTCTGAGGGGCCCATGAAAGTCCAGACGCTGCCCAACATGAGATCTGGGGCCTCTTCGCAAGCAAAAGGTAAAACCAGGCACTTCCTAGTCCTTCCATGGCCTAGCTGTTCCCCTCCTCACTGTGATTTCCCTTCAAGTTTGAGTTTTATTTATTTATTTATTTTTGTATACCTTTCTTTTGTTTGTGCGTCACAGCAAGTCTTTTTTTTTTAATTTAAATTTCTTCCCCCCAAGTTTTGAGTTTTAAAAGGTGTCTTCCTATTTATTGCTTGTTCATGTTGAAGTTCTAAAAACCTCCTTGTGTTCTTTGGGGTTAAGAAATGATAATTTTCTTAATGCTCAATAATATAGTTCTGCTCAGGAAATGAAATAAAACATCAGGTTTTTGAGAACCTGAAAATTGGTTTGAATGCCTGCTCATTAATAAAGAAAATTTGATCTGATGTTAACAACTTGAGAACTTTCCCTGTTGTGTAAAAAGGCCAGATATCTGTTAGTGGTGTCATCTCCACAGACTGTGAGGTGGTGGGTCCACTCTGTTGATGGTTGGTGTTTACTGTTCGTATGTGCTTCTGCGTGAGAATTTGCCTACGGGTGTTTAGAATAAAAGGAAACACTGGGAGATAAAAGTGAAGGTAAAAAGAGGGAGGTTCAAAAGGAAGGGGATATTGTATACCTATGGCTGACTCATGTTAAGGTTTGACAGAAGACAACAAAATTCTGTAAAGCAATTATTCTTCAATTAAAAAAAAAAAAATTTTTTTTAAAAAGTGAAGGTGATAGAGGCTCCTTGTGTTAGTGACCTTTGCTTTCTCTGTGTAGTCCTCAGATATTTTGGAGGGTGGGGTTGCACCCCAGAGTTTTATATTAATAAGAGGAGAAAATGAAAGGAGAGTTGTAGGAAAAGCTGGATGAAAATATCCTTTAACAAGCTTAATATTCAGGAGAAAAAACTAGATTTGTGTTTTTTCCCTAGCCACTATTATGAGTAAATAATAGTTAACTTTATAATTATTTATTATTTTGCCGTAATTACCACTGGGACGCAGTAGTGCTACGTAGTCTGGGTTTTATTGTAGAAAGAGTTACTTCTGTAAAAGAAAAGCTGCGGCTTTGAAGCTTAAATGCCAGTTTAGAAAACACTTGAATGTTTTGATTTATTCAAGACTGCGGTCAGAAACATGGGCTGAAAGCCTGCGTTTTTGCTTTCGTTGTGCGTGCATCACTTGTGGTGGTTATGTAAGACACACCAGCGAGCCCTTGGTTTGCTAAATTGGACGTTGTTTTCTGGGTGTGATGGTGATGTTTTCTTACCCTGTGAGAAGTCATGTCCTTGCTGCTTTGAGCAGACTTTATGCTGATTGTGATTATTTAAAGTAAGCGAGAACATGCTTAGGTTGTTAATACAAGTGTAAAATCTGATGTTTCTAAGTAAGTTTACTGGGCTTGTCATGAGTCTGAGATTTAAACCAATTTTTAGAGATTAAGGGCTTTCCTGTGGCTCAGCTGGTAAAGAATCTGCCTAAAATGCGGGAGCCCTGGGTTCGATCCCTGGGTTGGGAAGATCCCCTGGAGAAGGGAAAGGCTACCCACTCTAATATTCTGGCCTGGAGAATTCCATGGACTGTATATGTATAGTCCATGGGGTTGCAAAGAGTCAGACACAACTGAGCGACTTTCACTTTCACGAGATTAAACGTCTTAGCAGCAAAGGGAACCATTAAAAATGTCCTTAGCATGCTGGGTTATTGTAGCTACTTTTCTGTGTTCTAGGCTCTAAAATCCATCTGCTTGGCCCTGATTGGACTCCTCCAAATGCAGATCTTTTCTCTAGCCAAGCCTCTGCCTCTGTGTCTAAAAGCTCCGGGAACGTTCCAGACCAAGGTGAGGTTTACTTGCGCTCTTCCTGAGTATTCTCGTTTGGCCGTCTGAGGGCTCTAAGTATTCTTTTTTAGATAGCTACTTTTTAGTGTGTTAAAACCAGGGACCGTGTTTATTTCCAGAACAGCTTCCTTTAGCCAGGGAATTACGGTATGAGCGTTGTAGTATGGGGCTATTCTTTAATCAACTTAATTTAAAAATAGAGCATTTAATGACTGTAGGATTTCAAAGAGATTGTGGCGAGAGTAACATGAGTAAGAAATGTTTATCACAAGTAGTTTGATTATTAGAGTGATTTTTTTTTTTTTCCTGTCTTCTTCAGTGGATGATGGCGAGGTTCCGTTGAGGGAGAAGGAGAAGAAAGTGCGTCCCTTTTCGATGTTTGACACTGTGGACCAGTCTGCCGCCCCACCTGCCTTCGGTACCCTGAGGAAGAACCAGAGCAGTGAAGACATTCTGAGGGATGCTCAGGTATGTGAGGACGTCCCAGTTTTAACATTTTATAGTAATTCTTCGTGCGTTTTTCAAAAGAGAAAGTACTAATGTGAGAGAGAATAAAGAAACGAAGTCTGGAAGATTAGAAAATACGACTGCATTCTGTTATTTTCAGGTCTGTTACTTGAGTGTTTTTGTGGTCTCCTATCATACAGGAGGAGCATGTCTGACTGGCTTATGGGTCTTATTTTGTGTGACTCTCCAAAAAATACAAGTGCATTAAAGAACATTGTGTTCACACTGCTTAGTTATGTTGTCTCTTCAAGGGGTTAAGGCAGTATCAAGCAATTTGATGGTAAATCTTCTGTAACTGTTAGAATCCCAACCTTTGACGACCAGGCTGTGGCTGTGTGATCCAGTTAGGGTTTTTTTGTTTTTTTTTTGTTTTTCTTTTTACAACACGGCCCAGATTGCATAAAGTTCCATTGAACAGGAATGGTTTTCAGTTACTGGTGCCATCTGTGAATATGTAAAATGGCAATTAAAGGTTTTCAAGTGGACACTTAAACAGTTGCCCCAGGAGGAAGGGGTGACTCAGAGGAAGTTGTACCGGATAGGAATTGTATTGCATTACTGAAGGTCCTTTTACATGTGATTAAACTCAGAGATTTAAAACTTTTTAATGACCTTTCGATGTAGAGCTAGTCTTTTCGGTCTATACTGATGCTTGTAAAACTTAGGTTATCTAGAACATTCCATGTACCCAGTTATACAATATTTTAATTGTATGTATGTGTGTTTGTGTGTGTGTTTACAGGCTGCAAATAAAAATGTGGCTAAGGTACCACCTCCTGTCCCATCAAAACCAAAACAGATAAATTTGCCTTATTTCGGACAAACTAACCAGTCACCATCCGACATGAAGCCAGACGGAACTGCTCCGCAGTTGTCAGCAGCTGTTGCATCCATGGGAGGTAAACCCAAACCCGCAGTGCCACAGCAGAGGGTCCTGCTGGCCCCCGGCGGGCCTTCAGTGGGCCCAGCAGACCAGACCCTTCCTCCAGGTCCTAAGCAAGAGAGTCCCCCTGCTGCCGCTGTCCGACCCTTCACGCCTCAACCTTCCAAGGATGCCCTCCTTCCACCCTTCAGAAAACCCCAGACAGTGGCCGCCAGCTCCATATACTCCATGTACACACAGCACCAGGCTCCTGGGAAAAACTTCCAACAGGCTGTGCAGAGCGCGCTGACCAAGCCCCATCCCCGAGCACCCCACTTTCCAAGCGGTAAGATTCTGGATCTCATCTTCACCTGCGTGGATGTGTTTCTACCCTTCGCTGGAGCTGCCCTCTCTCTGTAAATAGCACAGTGACTTGTACCTGCTTTGACTGCTGCTTTTGTCCTAAGAGTTTTATTTCAGTATGGCTTCTGTTCTGCATAGGGCTTCCCTGGTGGTTCATATGGTACAGAATCTGCCTGCAAAGCAGGAGACCCGGCTTTGATCCCTGGGTTGGGAAGATCCCCTGGAGAAGGGAATGGCTACCCACTCCAGTATTCTGGCCTGGAGAATCCCCAGGACAGGGGAGCCTGGTGGGTTACAGTCCATGGGGTCGCAAAGAGTCAGACACAACTGAGCGACTGGCTTCACTTTCACTTTTTTCCTGTTCTGCATGGGGGGTTTAAAGGAGTTTGTGCTAAATGCCAGCTCTTATGGTAGCTGAAAATGATAGGTAGATGAAATAAAATATGAGTAAAATGAAATAAATGAATGAAATAGATAAGTAAGACCTGTAGGGATGACATCACCTCCTGTGTTGAATTTCCCATGTGTGTTGGTTTCCTGTTCATGGACAAGCCGCTTGGTGAGTGGGAAAGAGTGCCTGTGGGTAATTTACCATGCAGAATGCTGTGTCTTCGCTCGAGGTCTGACCAGACGTTCTTGGGGCATAGAGGATTGGACAGCTACCTCTGTGAATGGCTTTGTTGTTGGTTTTTTTTTTTTTATGCTCTCTACTATATTTTAAGTTGTTCTAATGAGGACACAGCTACTACTTAAATTTAAAACATCAAAAGATTACTTTGTGTTAAATGTACATGGTTTGGTCATTTGTTGGATCCTTTCCAAGAGTCATTACTTTGTGGGACTAGAATAAAATTCAGAATGTTTTAAATTAATGAAAAGGCTTTCTAGTTATGAAATAAGTATGTGATTGTGGCCCCAAATGTTGTGGAAGTAAGTACACAACAGAGAATTTGTATACATACTTCATCTTTCTCTTTTCATGAGTCTTTGGTGTGAACTGCTCATATAATAATTTGAGAATTAGATAATGATGATAGAATGTCTAAGGGGACTAGTTTTGGTAAGTATGCTGCTCCTGCTGCTAAGTCACTTCAGTCGTGTCCGACTCTGTGTGACCCCATAGATGACAGCCCGTTAGGCTTCTCTATCCCTGGGATTCTCCAGGCAAGAACACTGGAGTGGAACACCATTTCCATATAGGTGGTTATTAATAATTTTGTGAGCCAGATGATTTCTCACATTGATTTACTTTTGAAAACTGTAAAAGATGGGATCACAGATGTTTAAATTTGGACACATGGAAGGATCACCAGTTTTCATTGATTCTAAATCCTTTTCACAGTTTGACATTTTATTTATATATGTATTTTGCATTTCAACATTTTAAATGTGGGTGCTATGTAAGTGATTTCTTACAGTTGTACTTGGCAGCGTTTTCTTATGGATACATAAAATAATGAGGCCTGTTTACAATCAGTGAGGGTTTGATTCTACCGTAAATGTATTATGCAGTGGTGGAAATCTTGCTCTGTTATTTTAAAAAATTAGTTGTATTGAAGGGTATTGATGTAATAACTATGAAATTAAAAAAGGCTTTAGTTATTGTTACTTCTCTCTGTTATTTGCTAGTTTTGTTTAATATTAATCAAGGCCTTTTCCCCCCCCAATTCCAATTAGTGTATGGCAAGCCTGTGATTGCCGCGGCTCAGAACCAACAGCCCCCAGAGAACATTTATTCCAATAACCAGGGCAAACCTGGGAGCCCAGAACCCGAAACAGAGCCTGTTTCTTCAGTTCAGGAGACCCACGAAAATGAAAGGATTCCTCGGCCGCTCAGCCCGACCAAATTACTGCCTTTCCTATCTAATCCTTACCGAAATCAGAGTGATGCTGACCTGGAAGCCCTACGAAAGAAACTGTCGAATGCACCCCGGCCGCTAAAGAAACGCAGCTCTATTACAGAACCCGAGGGCCCTAATGGGCCGAATATTCAGAAACTTCTCTATCAGAGGACCACCATCGCCGCCATGGAGACCATTTCTGTCCCAGCTTACCCATCCAAGTCTGCTTCTGGGACTGCCAGCCCGGAAAGCCCGCTGGAGATCCAGAATCCGTATTTGCCTGTGGAGCCAGAGAAGGAGGTGGTCCCCCTGGTTCCTGAGCCGGCGTCCCTGGAGGAGGCTGGGAGCGCCAGTACAGAGAGCAGTGACGCGCCAGCTCCTCCTCCAGGCCTCGAGTATGTGCCTGAAGGAGTCCCAGACAGCAGCCCAAATTTCCAGAACAGCGTGGAAGAACCAAACCCAGAGGCACCCCCTCTGCTGGAAGTGTACCTGGAGGAGTACCCCCCCTACCCACCCCCGCCGTACCCATCTGGGGAACCAGAAGGCCCAGGAGAAGACTCTGTGAGCTTGCGTCCACCTGAGATCACCGGGCAGGTTTCTCTGCCTCCTGTAAGTAAAACCTTTCACTGCAGAAAGCTTTTATCTTGTCACAGCCTTCTCGGTGGCTGATGGCCACAACTCAGCAAAACACCAGCGAGTACTTACAGCCATTCACAAAAGAAGATCTGTGTTTAAACTGCTGATTGTAACACATGTCTTCCACATCTTGCCTTTTATTTTGCAATTCTCTTGGCACAGAGTGGATCTTACGAATGTTATCAAAATGCAGTATATTCAGTATCATGAACATTTTCACTTTTTAGGAAGAATCCCTTTCTTTATGAAGGAAACAAAAGTTTTGTTCTTAGACCTATAAATACCGTGTCTGCTGTTTCTTCTGTAGCGGATGTTGCATGCGTATTAGGGAAGCAACACTGGAATGAAAAGACTGCATTTGGAATTTTTGATCATTAGTTTAGCTCTGTGAAATAAGGCAGCTGGTTTAACTTCTTGTTGGTGACATCACTCTTTCAAACTTTTCTTTTTCTAGCATTGAAATTTATTTTCAGATTTTCGGTGTCATACTTAGATGGAACCTCAAACCTCTGACATTGATAAAATTGGAAATGGTTCTGGAAGAATTGGGTTCTGCTTGAATTGGGGCCTAGGAGAGAGTGGGGTGGACAATGTTTAGCCTCATCCTAACCTTCAGCCTGGCTTGAAATCTCCAGGTATCATGGTGATCCTCAGGCTTCCTTGTGCTCTGACATTAAGTTATTCTGTTTCAGCAATTGTAATTGGTCTGTTCATATTTTCTATTTCTTCCTGGTTCAGCCTTGGAAGATTGTACCTTTCTAAGAATTTGTCCATTTCTTCCAGGTTGTCCATATTATTGGCATGAGTTTGTAGTAGTCTCTTAAGGTCCTTGGTATTTTTGTGGTGTCAGTGGTAACTTTTCGTCTTTGTTTCTAATTTTGTTGATTTGCGCCCTCTCCCTTTTTTCTTGATGAGTCTGGCTAGAGATTGATCAATTTTACCTTCTTGAAGAACCAGCTTTTGGTTTCATTCATCTTTCCTATTGTTTTCTTTGTCTCTATTAATTCTTTTCTGCTCTAATCTTTGTGATTCTTTCTGCTGACTTAGGGTTTTGTTTGTTCTTCTTTCTCTAGTTGCATTAGATATAAGATTAGGTTGTTTATTTGAGGTGTTTCTTGTTTCCTGGAGTAAGTGTGTAAAGCTCCCTCTTAGATCTGCTTTTGCGCATCCCATACATTTTAGATGACATGAAGCTATTCTAAAGCTTTGTATGTTTTGACTTGGGCATGTCTCCCAGACTCCTTCCAAATATTAAGCTTTTCTTTGGAAGTTTATTATGCCTCTTTGAAGTAGAGAGAAGATCAAAACCCCAGAATGTCTTTAAAGTTGGTTTTTTCAGAGTTTAATTTGAAGTCAATTTTATTTCAGTAGGAATGCAAGCTGTGAATTTTTAAAGCCTGGGCAAAGGCAACATAGCATATTATAAGGATTTCTAAAAAACTGCTTTAGGGACCTTCCTGGGGATCCAGTGGTTAAGACTCCTCACTTCCAAATAAGAGGCGTGGGTTTTTGATCCCTTGTTGGGGAACTAGAATCCCACATGCCACGTGGCCAAAATATTTAAATAAATAAATATTGCTAAAGCTTTTTTTTTAAAGTGCTTTATACATTTGATCCCTTATTACATCTTTAAATGTGGCAGTATTCAAAAATAATGATTATCCAAAGTTGCTTTAGCTACTAGTTTACAGTCAACATTTGTTTAAAAGTTTTAGATAGTGAACATTGAGTTGTAAGGGGAAATGTTTTAGAATAGAACTTAATAATTTTTTTTTTTTTAACAATTTTGTGCTTCTAAGTTCTGAGGCGTGATTCTCTTAAACATGCAAGATTCTGTTATTTTCTCCTAGGAAGGCGATTTATAAAGTTTTTCCTTCTTAGCTCATGTTAAGTAGAAGCCTTTATTTTGTACTTTTGTTTGAAAGTGGATATGACTGTACTATTTATGAGTTGTATTATCACTGCCATGTAATATTTACACGTCTTTTTTTTTTCAAGAGACAGCATTTTAGCCACTGCACATTTGTGAAATATATTGATTGCCACTTAATGTTTTTCAAAACTCAGTATACTGTTCTCCACATCTAAAATTAAAGAAAGAGAAGTGTGGTCTGTTATACCCTAGGAAATGTTTCTACTCTGTTGGTTGTGTTTAAGAAACCTATCTTAGAGAGAATGTTAGATCTGGTTGCCTAATTTTTTTAAGCCTGATATATAAAAATGTAGAGAAGACTTGATTAATTTATCTGTGTATCTTGGAATACAGTTAAATTTTTAAATATAAAATAGTGATAGCATTTTAAGACTGGTAGGATTCTTCCCTGGTTTATCAAAGTCAGACTGATCTTTATATTTTTCCTTATAATATACTTCCCCTCCAGCCCCACAAGAGGCTTTATGCTGTGAAATGGTTAAAAGGAAGGGTTTTGAAGAAGCCTGATTCCTTGGATTTGATTCCATCTCTGACTGATGTTTACTGGCTGTGTGCCTCAATTTCCTTACCTGTAAAATGGGATAATAGAGTTTTCGTGAAGAATAAAGGAATAATCATTCCATAAATGTCAGCTGTCTGTCACAGTTTAGAGTTTGTGCTCTTGCCCAGATTAATCATGTGGGGTTTGCTCTACTATATTAGGTAATTTAAAGACCAGTCTTGGCTAATTTTGATCCTCAACAAATATCCAGCCTGCTTTACAGTTTTACTCTTAGCCCAGTGTTACCCAAATGTGATTTCACTAAGTGGTTTCTTTTTTTGAGTATTTTATATCTTTATTTTTATATTAAACAGGCAGATACATTTGGTACTGAAATGTGAAATCTGCATGAATTATTAAGAGCAAAGAAATGTTGTGCCTGCAGCAGACCACCTCCTACCACATCTTTAAACCCTCAGGGACTCACTCTTGGACAATTTAACATTTTTTTTTTCTCACCAGCAACTGAATTTATAAAGCAAAAAATAGAAAACTGTCCAGGATAGTGAACTGGTGACCAGTCTCCCAATAATTTTTAATAAGATATGTTTTTAAAAATCAAGTAATGTGCATTTATTTATTTATTTTTTTCCCCCACTGGTGAATTCCATAAACTTTTTTTTTTCCATTTATTAGTTGGAGGCTAATTACTTTACAATATTGTAGTGGTTTTTGTCATACATTGACATGAATCAGCCATGGATTTACATGTATTCCCCATCCTGATCCCCCCCTCCCTTCACTAAGTTTTAAAGAGTTAAGTTCTTCCCACTCTATTATGTGCATATATAAATATTAAGCTATGTATTTTGATTTATATATTTTCTAGCATAATGTTGCACTTTAATAAAATGTGCTAAACATATATGTTTTAAAGTTCTTTTTACTAACTCAGCTGAGGTGTTATTTCTCTCCTTTTTGTTGTGTTTCGGTCTCTTAACTCTTCCGCGTGTTTCTTCTGCAGGGCAAAAGGACAAACTTGCGTAAAACTGGTTCCGAGCGGATCGCTCATGGGATGAGAGTGAAGTTCAACCCCCTTGCTCTGCTTCTAGATTCCTCTTTGGAGGGAGAATTTGACCTTGTACAGAGAATTATTTATGAGGTATGGCTTGAATTAGTTAATTTCATAAATACGACCTTGTATTTTGTTTTAAAGCTCTGATCAGGAAGCTACTGTAGTTTACATTGTTTTCTCTTTTGGGAGTTGGGTTTGTTGAGAGGAGCTCTTGAGCAAGCTCCACAACCAGCTTCTCTGTTGTAAGAGTGTGGCTGTTAGCAGTTTCAATAATGTGGACGTTCAGTTTTCTCTGGGGTTGCTTTGCTTTCCCAGGGAGACCATGACCCTCCTTTAAAAGTTGTTCAGGTATGGATTTGTGCTCTGCATGGTTTCAATTGTGGTCCCTACTTTTCAGAAGCCTGCCATTTAAAATATTTTTAGTTTGACCTTTCTTCCTCTTTATGGGAAATGTGACTTCTGCTTAGACACTAATTTGTGGTGGGAAGTTGGAGGATAAATAAACAAAAATGACTGTAAGGTTATAGTTTCTGGGACTTTTTCAGTTTTTAAAAAACCTTTTTATAGTGAATGCCTACTTAATGTCTGTCTTACTTCTAGAACTGTTCTTGGTACAGTTTTTTTGGCTTCTGTAGGTTTTAATTATGATTTTCTTAAAAAAAAAAAAAAACAACAATTGATACAAGAGTCTCTTTCAGTTCTCTTAGTCCTAAAGAGCCAGCTAATAGTTGATTGTTCAGGTCACAAGAAATTTGAGTAACAGTCGCCCTTCTTATTGACATCACAGGTTGATGACCCAAGCCTGCCTAATGATGAAGGTATTACAGCTCTTCATAATGCTGTGTGTGCAGGTCACACCGAAATTGTGAAATTCCTGGTACAGTTTGGTGTGAATGTCAATGCTGCTGACAGTGATGGATGGTAAGATTTTCTTTTAAACTCCGTTCTGGCATCAGTTGTATCTGCTGTGTAGGCAGCAGATGCGCAGTGTTGTAGGTGCTTCTGGAAGGGAAAGAAGTATGTCAGTGCACGTCCTCATGCTGTTTGTAATCTAGAAGGAGAGCCGTGGGAGATGCTTTCAAGGAATTAATATGTCCTCATGTTAACAGCCCTCTCACTCCCATTCTGGAAGCAGGTGGAGTTTTAGAAGTTTAGTAGTTAAATAATAAAAATAAGAATATCTCAAGGTGGTACACAGCTCACTGGCATGTTTCAGCAGATCTGAGAAATGCTGACTTAAGCAGCTTCCTTCCACCTCACTGAAACTACCATATGCCTCTTAAGAGGGGATCATATTGAATAATTTATAACCTTTCCCAAATATTTTTGACTGTGGAATCCATTTTTCATGGAGCATATTGTAGAACTGGTTTGTGGATAAAACCCAAGAGATACTATTGCAAATAATGACTATTATTGTTTATAAGATAATGCATTATTATTAACTAATAATATCAAAGGCCCAAATAAGTTACTGTCACTCCTGATAACGTAGTTATCAGGATAACTGAATGGACAGTAAATTTTGTATTTCATTTTTTGAAAAAAATAAAATTTTAAATTAATGATATGCTTTCTTTTTGGAAAAAATACCAAAAGTTTACTTCTTTCTATATGAAAATTTTTTTAAGTTGTAAATCACACCATGTTTACTGAAGTATTTTAATTTTATAGGTTATTTTTTCTCTTGCTATGGAAATAATTGTAATATCAAATTTACATGTATACACATAAGTTACAGACACCCATATGCATAGATTTGAAAAAGCCTCTTCTGCTACCACTTGGCTGTGACTTGTTTACTGTAACTGTCTCCTCCTTGTTGTTTTTCCAATTTTTTGTTTTGTTATAAATGATACTCTGAGAAGCATTTTGGTTGTAGTTTAAAAAAATTAATATGTATAAAATATGGGCCCAATATGGAAACATGCAGAAACAGAGAAGTAAGAGAAACATAAGCCATGTGTACCCCACCATCAGTATTTTAATATATTTCCTTCAAGCTCATTTATGAGTGTGTGTGTGTGTGTACATACATATATAGTTTTTTATGTCTCTCTCTCTTTTTTTTTTATTTTAGCTCTCAGTAGAGTGTTGTGTTTTTAAATTGAGATATAGTTGAGTTACAATATTATATTAGTTTCAGGTGCATAGCATAGGGATTCAAAGGTTTTATAGATTATATTCTGCTTACAGTCATTTTTAAAATACTGGCTCTGTCTCCTGTGCCGTGGTGTATTTATTTTGCGCACAGTAGTTTGTGCCTCTCAGCCCCTCATCCCTGTCTTGCTGTTTTCCCTGCTGCACTTTACTCACTGGTAACCGCATCTGTTCTCTGTGAGTCTGCATGTTTTCTTGTATTCATTTGTTTGTTTTATTTTTTAGATTCTACATGTAAGTGATAACATGTACTATTTGTCTTTTTCATACCTACTTTTTTAGTTTAACTTAAATTCTTAATGTGTCATAATGCCTTTGTTTTCCTAATATTGGGAGTTTAGATTATGTATAATTATTCACTATTAAAAAAGCCATGCAGTTCAAAAATCTATAGTAATATTTACCAAACTATTGAACACAGTGATTGGGACAGGTGATAGGAAATAATTTCTATTCTGAAAGACCCAAAGGGAATAAAATGATGAGGGGAGGAAAGAAGAGGGTAAAGAAAATATGCAAAACAGAAAAAGAGACTCAGATAGATGTATAGAACAGACTTGTGGACTCTGGGAGAAGGCGAGGGTGGGATGTTTCAAGAGAACAGCATTGAAACATGTATATTATCTAGGGTGAAACAGATCACCAGCCCAGGTTGGGTGCATGAGACAAGTGCTTGGGCCTGGTGCACTGGGAAGACCCAGAGGGATCGGGTGGAGAGGGAGGTGGGAGGGGGGACCGGGATGGGGAATACATGTAAATCCATGGCTAATTCATTTCAATGTATGACAAAAACTACTGTAATGATGTAAAGTAATTAGCCTCCAACTAATAAAAATAAATGGAAAAAAAAAAAAACAAAGGAAAAAAAAAAAAAAGAAGTGAAATCTCATGTACTTCAGGGCCTGATTAATGTCCTCAAGCCTGTCTTTTGAGTTTGAGCAGTGGTCCTGACTCTTCCACCTTTCCTGTGAATCTGGAGTCATTTATAATACATTACAAAACATTTGAGGTGCTAGAGAAGATTCTCTGTCATGGTATTCATAAGTATCTGCTCACCAGAGATTGAAATGTGTATTTTACAGTCATTTTTTCTGGTCTAAATTGAATTGGCAACTTTTTTTTCCCCAATTAAGTTTTAGTAAGGATTTTAAGCGTTGGATGAAGGGAGTTCTCTAGATGCAACTTAGTTTCTTCAAAAGGGATTTTAAAGGTGCATGTTTTGAGGAAGGGCCTGTTAAAGACTTACAGCCTCCACTCTGGCAGAAATAATTAGACTGGATGCTGCAGAGTGTGGAACTAAATGCATTTTATCCTGCTTTAGATTATCAGACACATTTCACGTCCTTTCACTCCGGTACTCGATTCCTCTCACCTGCCGTGCTGCCCCGGGCCTGGCATAGCCCAGCACTCTGACATTTTCCTTTGTGGCTCTGTAATTCTCAGATGGGCTCAGATATCTGTGCTTAACTGATTTTCAAAAATCTGTGTGAAAGGTTTGCAGGAGGGGCTTGGTAGATGACAGACTTGAGAACTCTCTCTGCAGATCCTCTGTCGCAGCAGTTGTCGTTCAGTGTAGGAAACTGTCTCTAGCCCTTGCTGTGTCCTTCTCCGCAGGACCCCGCTGCACTGCGCTGCCTCCTGCAACAACGTCCAGGTGTGCAAGTTCTTGGTGGAGTCAGGAGCCGCTGTGTTTGCCATGACCTACAGTGACATGCAGACGGCTGCTGATAAGTGTGAGGAGATGGAAGAAGGCTACACCCAGTGCTCGCAATTTCTGTATGGTATGGAGCAACTAGATACACATGTATTGATTACTGCATTCGTGTATCCTATATCTTTAGGGTATCACTTGATAAGTGTTCTTATTATTTGGGTGTTCCCTGATAGCTCAGTTGGTAAAGAATCCTCCTGCAATGCAGGAGACCCTGGTTCAGTTCCTGGGTTGGAAGAGCCAATGGAGAAGGGATAGGCTCCCCACTCCAGTATTCTTGGGCTTCCCTTGTGGTTCAGCTGGTAAAGAATCTGTCTGCAGTGCAGGAGACCTGGGTTCGATCCCTGGGCTTGGGAAGATCCCCTGGGGAAGGGAAAGGCTACACACTCCAGTATTCTGGCCTGGAGGATTCCAGGGACTGTGTAGTCCATGGGGTCGCAGAGTCAGACACGACTGAGCTACTTTCACTTATTATTTGGGAAAGCATTTTGTGTTGGTACATTGTCCTAGGCATTGAAAATAGGGCAGCCTTGATCTCAAATGTGAATGAAGCTTTTGTGTGTGTGTGTGTCTAGAAGCAACTATTGTCAGGGACATCTTTACCAACAAAAGACAGTGATGCAGCATTGCATCTAGCAAGATTAATAGCTTTTGACCATCAAAAGATCCTCTAGTAAGACCTCAGTACTTGGGAAATGATGCTGTATCTTTGTGCATAAGTACACAGAACTCCCCTCCCCCCTTCTAAGATGATCAAGAGAAATGCATTGTTGGAATAAGAATCCAACTGATTCAAGTTTTCCTGCTAAATCAGACTTGTCATAAAGTGGACCACATATACTTTAGAGCTAATTTTTTGACTCTTTTGTTCTCTTATTTTTGAGTTTATGATTCTAATGGATAACAACATCAGTGCTGTACCCAGAGAAAAATGGACTTGAAGTTTTAGATGGATAGATGTTGGTTGGCATTGTTATTTACAGGGAAAATTTTTTTTTTTTATTTACAAATCTTAGAACTTGAGGTTAGTATTTGTTTTTAGACTGGCCCGAGAGGAAGGGAGAAGGGATAAAGCCAGAGACAAATGAGGCGGCAGGTCCCAGGACCCCGAACCACTCAAGCATCAGACATGGGAAAGTGCCCAAGGTGAAATGTCTTCTCTGACTGCTCTCCATGTGTCACTAGGCCAGTTTAAGGCTCTAGGAGAGAAGGAGGAGAGGCAGAGGCAGAGCCACAGATCTCAGGTTCTCTTCTTTATCTCTTAGCTCTTAGTTTTTATTGTTGGTATTATGATCATTTACTGTTTATGTTCTGAACTCTAGATCAAAGAATAATTTTGACGTATTATTGTATTTAAAAATCAGCATTATATAATATGTGTTTTGTTTTATTAAAAACATATATTAAAAAATATGGCTCATATTGGTGATTGAGCTATATTTAAGTAAGAAATATGATTTTTAAAAACATTTAAGGACATTTGACGAGAAATTTAAAAAATTTGTGAAATGTATCATGGATACTGAGAGCATTTCTGATGCGTACTAGATGCTACTAGACTGAACACAGTGAAGCGTCCAGGTATCCAGCCTGGGAAACAGAACCTGAGCTTTCTCAGCCATCGAGGGGGACGTGACCGCCCCCTGAAATTGATAACAATAGTTGGATCACTGCTCTGTGACTCCTACAGCTAATATTGTTTATCTGCCTGGTTTTGACCTTTATATTAGAATAAACCATACCAGTGATGCTCTGGCTTCTTTTTTCGTTCACTGTGGCTTCTGAGATTCACTGGCGGTGGTGCCTGTAGCTGACGTCTCTTTTCACTGGGCTGCTGTTCCACTCTGGGACTCTACCACAAGTTATATTTCCACTTTACTTCGGGCGGACATTGGGTTGTGTTCCCGCTTCGTTCCTCCCGCCCTCCCTCTCTTCCTTGCTCCCTTCTTTCTGCCCTGGTAACCACTCTCGTCCTCATCTCCTGGTGTCCCTGGACGTAGTCGCAGGTCACAGGGAGGCCTGTCAAGCATGTTCTCTGACCTTCGGTGGGTTTGGAATCCTAGCCCCTTGTGGCTTTAGTTTGCATTTCCCAAATTGCCGGTGAGGTAGAGCATGTTTTTAGGCCCTCAGAAACTGTTTAGAACAATAATTTGTAACTCTTCGTTTGATAAACAATGAGAAATTGTCTTTCATGTCTAATGATTTGCCTGGAATTGAGACTCAAGTTGTCATTTCAAGTGCATCATTCCATCCCAAACCGATAACAAATCTGACCAGCTCTAAAACTTAGTGAAATCATGGTTGTACCAAGTCTCATTGTCCTTGTGAATCCCTCATATTTTGCATGTCTTATATAAACAGGAAGGTTGGAAATTCATTTGTCCCCATGAGTAGAAACCTGACCCTCTAGAGAGGCAGAGCTTTCTTTTGGAAAAGAATGATTTAATTTCTAGTTTTGCCCAGAGTGAGAGACAAGTAGCGTGTGCTACATCATTAACTGACACAGGAAAAGTAAGTTTATAATTAATAATTTAGGTTCACATAAGTTGAAAGACCTGACTATTCATAAGCAAGCAGATATTTTCCTGGCTTTTCTAAAAAGTGAAAATAATAATGAAGTCTGCCTTGCTCAGGAGATTGTTGTCTAATTCCTCCTCCCCTTCCCTTGTGTTGCCTGCCTGTTGATGATTGCTACTGCTTATTAGCCTCACCTTAGAGGATAGGGAGGTATAAATGGAGAAAGATGAAACCTGCAGTCCTAGTTCATCTGCAGATCTGTTGTTAACTTTGGTAAAAGTGAGCATTTGGGGTTTTTTTTTTCCTTCCCCCAGTTTGTGGACTTCAAAGACCTTTAGAATTCTGATTCTCATTCAAGTCGACTATACATAGACTTTTATATCCTAATACCTATTTCCTAATACCTAATACCCTATTTCTGCATTCTAACATTTTATATATATTTTTCTTCCATCTTTCCTTATTTGGAAATTGATAGAAACCACTTTAACAGGCACAACACTCTTTTTCCTCTGCCTGCTTTGAGTTTTAGGTAGAGAACAAAAATGATCCCAGAGTTCCTTGGTCATTACACTTAGTGAGTCTGCTAAAATTTGACAGATGGCTCATTCACTTTTTTAATATTCTAGACTTGAGCAGTTGTTTTTTTCATTCCTGGGTTTGTAATTGTTTTTGTATTCTGTGTGAGAGTAGTTTTGAGAGCTGCTTATAAAGTGTTGGTTAGTTTTAGAGCTGGTTTAAAGCTAATAGCGTACATTAACTTGTCATTTATATGTTCCTTCTGCCCTGCTGGCCTTCCTCTCCTTCCTCAGTCCCCAGGAAGTTTATTTGTTGAATGTTTATTGTAGTAGTTTCTCCCATTCCAGCAGGTCCCCATTACTTCTCATTTAGTTTCATGGAGCTGCAGGTTCTGAGCGTGGTATCCTCTGAGTTACTTACTCTGTGCTGTATCTTACATGATTTTAGGAGTTCAGGAGAAAATGGGCATAATGAATAAAGGGGTCATTTATGCACTCTGGGACTATGAACCTCAGAATGATGACGAGCTGCCCATGAAAGAAGGAGACTGCATGACAATCGTGCGCAGGGAAGACGAAGATGAGATTGAATGGTGGTGGGCCCGCCTGAACGACAAGGAAGGATACGTTCCACGCAATTTGCTGGGAGTAAGTGAATGATGTCTTTATATGCGTCAGAGAGGGGCTTGGGGAAAACTGCCGTGTATTGTAGATTCAGTGCAGCCTGCTGCCGTTTGTTAATGAGAAGTAGAATTTAACATTTTTGATAGTCTTAAAAATAGACCCAGAACCTCATTTCCAGTGATTCCTATTATGATCAATAGCATATTTACAGGTTTAGCAGCCCCTAGAAGTCTGGGGTTCTGTCTTCATTTATAAATAGAGTGAAGATAATTGGACAATGTAATTGGACCATGTGATGGGAATTGAGCTTATGAAATTTGAAATACATTTTGGATTTAAGTCAGGATTTCTGAATCTGCTAGAGTTTGAACAGGGCACCAGAGGCAAGATTCTTTGTTCTTGCTCTACTGTTGAATTTTGTTTCATATAAACCAAGAAAGTAATCAAATCATACCAGCACATATAAACCAATAACATATCTATATTAGTCTGAAGAGGCTGCTCTCTTCGGGCAGACATTCTGGGGGTATTTTCAGGGAAAGGCTAGTGTAGTTGGATGGAATCTAATGTACAGCAAATGGGAGATATTCTTACTGTATTCTCATCATTTGTCAGGCCAGCATGGTCTGTGCCTGCAGAGAGCTTCTGCCCAGCTTGAGGTCCTAAACCAGGGAGCATCTGGGGGTCCCTCTGCCTGGGCTTTACTCTCTGGGGAGATAGCTGAAATGACTCCTGTGTTGGGACCCGGAGCTTGGATTCTGGCCCATGTCTCCTCGTTCTGACTCATTCTTCTCCTTTGTTGTTTGGTGTACAGTATAAATGACTTCATACATCTGACTCCCTCATAGCTCAGTTGGTAAAGAATCCACCTGCAATGCAGGAGACCCTGGTTTGATTCCTGGGTCAGGAAGATCCACTGGAGAAAGGGATAGGCTACCCACTCCAGTATTCTTGGGTTTCCCTTGTGGCTCAGCTGGTAAAGAATCTGCCTATAATGCAGGAGACCTGGTTTCAATCCCTGGGTCACGAAGATCCCTGGAGAAGGGAAAGGCTACACACTCCAGTATTCTGGCCTGGAGAATTCCATGGACTGTATAATCCATGGGGTCACAAAGAGTCGGAAACTACTGAGGGACCTCCACTTTCACTTTCATCTTGGTTCCTGTCTTCCTGGGAGCACAATTTATTATTAAGTAAACATTTGGGGTGTGGATAATATTTATTCATCTGATCATAATGAAAATGGAAAAAAAAAACAACAAAACAAGCCATGGAGCCCTTTAAAAAAGCTTTTCAAATTACCAGATGAAAGTAGGAATATAGAGATGCTTCTCTTTCCAGCCCTCCTGTTTGCTTCTAGAAAGGCTTTTTAGCGCCAGAGAAGCATAATCTCTCACATGCAGCCACTTTCCTTCTTTAATGAACACCAAGAGCAAAAGTGTACTTTTACTTCTTATAGTTTCTTGGGGAAAGCTCTGCCTCTTAGAGGTAGTTGCTTATTTGGGTCTTACTTTAATTTTCTAACAGAGAGATCCGATGGTCACTGAAACGTGGGGAGAAGGATTCGTTTCCAAGTGTGGAAGCACTTGGTCAGAGACCAAGCTCTTTTCCTGTGTATGGCTTTCAAAGGTTCTGAAATCAGTGGACTGGATTGAAGATTTTAATTTTAATCCAACATTTAAATATTCTTAGTCCTTTGGAAATCTTTCCTGGGTAGAAGTGGCCTCTGCACAACTTCCTTGGGTTTCTTTTGAAGTTTTTTAAAAAAGGAAATTGCCTAAATGTTGGGTTTTTAGTCAGAGGCTCACATACAAGTTTTGAAAATTGTATTGGCCAAGTATCTTTCCTCGCAGAGAGAAGCAGTCCTTGATATGACATTGATTCCTCAGTTAACTTGTCAGTTTTGGCTTGAAGTTCGATTCGATTTTCTTTTTTTCCCTTTGTCTGGAAGAGGAAGGGTTTTGTTTTGTTTGCCAGTTGAATGACTAGTTTGACTTGCTCTTGGCTTCATGAACACTCTCCTTCCCAGCTCTTGTTATGGAAGACACAAAAGCACAAGATCCTAAAACAAAAAACTCCACTTATCCTCCCTCAAATCTGTAGACTTTTAGTCTGTGGCATTTCATTCATGACAGTCTCCATTCCCATGACACCATGTGATGTCCATTGTGCATAAAGGTAAAAGAGACTTTTCAACTCCTTATCTTTTCCCTCAGAACGGAAGTTCTCGGTGTTGGAGTTTATATATAGAGTATTGCAAGTCACTTCTAGTCCTTTGTGATCCTTGTTGGATTTGATTTACAGTTCAGTAGGCTGCATAGAGGAAGTTAATGCTCTGAGCCATCCCAGATTTTATATCATTGCACCATGGGTGTTCCTGTTGAGGAAACCCCTACGACAACAAGTTATTCAGCTACTTTGGTTGCTTCACATGGCAGAGTCTCCTTTCTTTGGTTTAATTTCTCTCCTGTGACATCAACATCCACACCCCCCCCCCCCCATAAATTCCTGAAGGTGTGTTATACTCCCATGTCTGTGCATATGTAAATATTTTAAAAATTCTTTTAACAGCTCTACCCAAGAATTAAACCAAGACAAAGGAGCTTGGCTTGAAACTTTGCAGATGTTTAGTTCATGAAGAATTAACCTCTGTTACCACTAAGAAGAAACAGTACGATCGTTTGTGGCAGAAATTTCTCAAGACTCATTTTAGTGACAGTAACTTGAAAGCCATGAAGAAGGAGCTCTGGAAACAGATGAAGGCTTGGCCTTGGCTACTGTTGGTCAAGGATGCTCAGCTCGATGGAGCAGAGCTTGGCAGGAGGCTGATGCACTGTGCTGGGCAAGGTGCGCTGTGTTGTACTCCGAAAGACACATGGTGACAATCCTGTTCTCTGCAAGAAGTGGGACCACTTATTGGACTACTGGGGGCTCAGCTTCACGGCCTGCGTCCGTTGGTGTTCTTCAGCACCTGCCACATCCCTGAGCTCCCACCAGAAGGACCAGTGCCTCCACGGTGCCATCTCTGGTTGTCCCCCAGAACAGCGGGCCCGTGGGGGACTCGATGGAGGTCCAAAGGCGCCGCACACTGTGTGTTGTCTGAGAAGGACTGTTGGATGGTTGTCCGTGAGCAATAACTTGGTGGTGTGATTCCTTGTAGCGCCCTATCTTTGAAATATTGAAACCACACTACACTACAGGTAGATTTAGATTGTTTTTAGGCTGAGATTTGAATCTATATTTATTGTCTTTTGTATCTCAGAAATTAGAGACTTGCTATAGACTTACTCATGATATTTGTCAAGATCATAGTCGACTTTAAAAACAATTGCAATAAAATTAAACTTTTTGATTCTAAGCTTTTTACTGGCTTTAGTTTTTTATGTCATTAACAGCTGTGTTTCAAGTTCCTAAGTCATTGGAATATCATACTCTGCTGAAAAATAGTATTTCTTTACCAGCCATGTGATTAAATATAAGTATTTCTTTGCTCAGTTTTGCAACTTGTGATTTTTGTGGTGGTCTTTGATATGGAATTAAGACATTTTATAAAAGATCTTAGAGGCCATGGTGATAGAAACTTGTACCTTTACCTAGAGCTTCTGACAGGCTGTTTGTGTCCTCATTTTTTCAGATTCTTCATACATTGAGTTACAGGATGTAAAGTTATATAGACCCAGCCTGCACATTAATATGTTACCAAGTTCGTGAATTGTTTGGGACCTTATTTTGCATATTAAAACTGTTTCATTTATTAGAAGATACAGGTGAGAAAACCAGTGGTCACGTTTCCTTAGACATTTTTACCAGTAGTAAATTGTAGCAAGAAAGGAAGGTAGCCAGCAGAACATACTGTGCCTTTCAGACTAACAGTGAATAGAGAAAACATGGATGAAATGTCAGAGGACCTGTGTGGTAGACAAAATTATGAAGATGCCCCTCCAGTCCCCCGTATTCTTGTCCTGTTGTGTTGTGGACTGAATATTTTTGTCCCCCTAAAATTCATGTCAACGCCCTAACCCCCAGTGTGATAGTATTTGGAGGTGGGGCCTTTGGGAGGTGATTAGGTTTACATAAGGGTGGAGCTGCATGAAATTAGTGTCCTGATAAGAGGAAAAGTCTAGTATACTCTGTGAGGATACCCCAAGAAGGCTGCCCTTCTCACTGGACACTGAATCTTCTGGCACCTTGGTCTTGGATGTCCCAGCCTCCAGAACCATGAGAGAGAAATGTTTAAGCTACACAGCCTGTGGTATTTTTTTACAGCAGCCTGAGACACCTGGTTATTTAACCAAGCACTAATCTAGGTACTGCCAAGGATTTTTCAGATTTAAATTTACTAATCAACTGACCTGACAATAGGGAGATTATCCTAGATTATCTCAGGTGGGCCCAACATGAGCAGCTATGTGTTCTTAGGGTTTGACTTTGGGAAGTAAGTGGTAATCATCAAAAGAGATCAGGCCAGTAGCCAGTGAGTGCCGTTCACCTCTCTCCCAGTCATCTTTCCCGTCCACCACCCCTCAAGGATCCCCAGCAGTTGACCAGGGGTTTAGCTGCATGCCTTCCTGGATCTCTCTTGCCCCCTCCACCAAAGGGACATGTGGGTGGCAGGCACAGCACGAAACTGCCAGTGCCTCTTCAGGAGACCAAGCAGCAGCAGGCATTGGAGCTCACTTTAGGGTCAATCATCAGAGCTTCTGAACTGGATTTTTACAGAGTTTTACAGTTCCATGAAATGGTAGATCAGCAGGCCCCTCCTCCCAATACAGGCATTTTTGGAGGGAGGGAGTGCGCCTCGCTGGAGTGGGGTGGGCTGTGACTGGGGGTGCTCACTGCTGCCCCTCTCCAGGAAGAACAGCACCCACGTGGGATTGCCTGGACGACTCTTTATTGAACAGTACACTTGGAAGAAGATAAGGCAACAAGGCAGTATTTGTATAATGTCACTAGCATTTTCCCCAAGGTAAAGCCAGGAAACAAGCTCCGGTGGTCTCCCTGGGGGTTGCTACAAGACATCCCCCCAGTCTGTGCATGGACGCTAGCGGGGAAGTTCGGGAAGGTTTGAGGTGGGCGGCGAACAGCTGTGCCGTCTTCCATCACAGTGGGCTTGTGGACAGATGCCCAGTTTGGGTCAGTGCTTCAGCTGAGCCAGAGGAGCATCCTTTTGGTATCATAACGCTCGGTGTGTTAAGACCAGATGCACTCCAGCACTTGAGTTAAGACATGCTGGTTAACTGTTCAATGTTATGTAAAATCTGTCTCTTACTTAACCCAGTGACTGAGATGTGCTTCGCACCTGGCCTCTTGGGATGCCTTCATGATGCATCGTATTTTTCCATTTTACTCAAGGGCAATGAGAAATCCCTGGACAACTGTTTGGTAGATGTCACAGCTGCATTTTTAAACTTGAAGTTGCTTTAACTATTGCTGGCAAGGACGTTGTGTCCTTTGAGGTTGACTGAATGTTCAGTTAAGCTCAGCTGTTAAACACCTCCCTGCAGTTTTTCCTGATTTAATATTGCTCTAAACAGGAAAGTGTGTAAAAGTAAAAAGTGTATACTATATACAGATGGAAGGTTTTCTCTTAAGTTTGTCAAGGGTTAAGTGACTCTCATTTAGTATGATTATATGCAAATCTTTTACTTTGATATCTGAAAGTGCTGCTTTCTCAAGTCGACAGTATCATTTTCAGCTCTAATCATCAGTTTAAGTAAATATTCCCATAATTTCAAGATCTAGATAAAAAGTTTCTCCGTAGAGGCTTAATCCTCGGCTGATTTTCTTTCATGAGAAGTCTTCAGGCAGATTGGTTATCACTTCAAAGTACTGAAAAACACAGCCACTGTGAGGAAAGGAAGAAAAAAAAAAATCAGGGATCACTTTTTAAGCTCAACGGGTGTAGATTATTTTGAAAGATTGACTATTGCACCAGAAAAGCTGATTAAGGGTTAAGGTATGATTGCACTAACTCACATTTTTTCTACCTGATTTCTAGAGTCTAGCTTTTTACAGAGCAGTAAAAAGTGGTTGTTTGAATCAGGTGGTCATGAATTGAATTACAGGGTTGACTGAAGCACATGAAACCTGAAACTTGGACACTTGAATTAGCATTTCCACCTCTCTGCCTCAAGAGTGTCACATCAGAGGTTAGCTTGGGGTGTGGATAAACCCTTAAACTAGTGGTTTCCAACCTTAGTTCTGTATTGGAGGAGTCAGGGAACTTTGTACCAGATTCTAATGAAATTAAGTCTGGAATGGGCCTGGACATCAGGACTTTTTAAAGCTTCCTAGGTCTAACCTGCAGGCAAGGTTGACCATCATGGCAAACCAAAGGGGAGATCTTCCTGCTGTTACTGTCTTAGCAAAAAAAAAAAAAAAAAAAAAAGTGTGGGGAACTCCAGGGACCTGTAAAAGGAAAGGCTTAGAAAGGATGGAAAGCCAGTGGGTAAGATGCTTCTCAGAGGAAATGGGGATGGGGATGGTGTTGTGAGTAGGCTGGTCGTAGGGAACGGTGGCAGCCGGGGAGGAATAAGATTTCCATCAAGAATGATAAAGGGGGCTACAGTTGCAAACGTCACACGTGGCATGTTTAGGCCCCAACTGGAATGCCTCTACCTTAACTGCAGTCTCAGGGGAGAGTTATTTCCTGGGTTACATGAGTTTTAAGCAAATTAGTGTGCTTTAGAACCAGCTAAAATGTATCTGCAGTTGGCTCATGTTACTTTAAAATGCATAATAGCAGAATGAAAGAATCATTTAGTTGCTGGGTTCCTCCAGAGTTCTAAATTCAAGGAAAGAAGTGCCAGTCCCTCATCCTCCCACCCCACCCCCTATCCTTGCTACTCTGCTCCTCTCTGGCCCATGGGATCAGGTCATCCCCACTCAGCACTGGTCATGCCACCCCGCCCTCTGTAGGTAGCCTTTGCTGCTCCAAGCTCAGCTCCCCCTCAGACAGAGGAAAAGCAGGTTGGGGCCCTGCAAGGATGAAAGTAACCCCAGTGACCTTTTTTGAAGTGAGAGTACTTTCTTTGGATGACAAGAGAACATTTTGTGCTTTGCTTTCTGTGGAACTGGCGTACCAACTGAATTTGGATTGGTGATCATTTTATAGGTGGCTGTCACTGGGGTTCCAGACCATATGAATACAATTATTACATATGGCAAGCTTATTCACTATTGTTTGTTTTACTTTAAGGGCAGAGGAAGTGGAGAAAAGTAATTTGCTCAGAAAGTCCTTTTAAGCAGAACTAAGAATGACAGATCTTCTTAAGGCCCACTTAACTTTAAGCCAAAGGACTTCTTTGCATAAACACCTTCTCCCATGCATGCTAATTAGCAGGTCATTTTTCTAAGAGGCATTCTGCCACCCTCTCCTTATTCTAACTTTTTGCTATTCTCAAGGCAAAGCTCATGGCAGGAGGAGCCAGGTGTATTTTCTTGGATTAGAGAATCAATAGGTAGTTGGGAACAACCAAACCGAAGTGCAGTTGGGGATCTCACAACCATTTACAGCCTGTCCCTGACAGACCAAAAGCTCCAGGCCTCTGTTGCCCCGGTAACAGCATTTCTCCCCTAGGAGTCAGGGCTGGGAGGCTGCTGACTTACAGAGATAAGGTCGAGCTGGATCATTCCAGTATTCTCGGGGTCCAGCTGCTTAAATACCCCTGTGGAGGCAGAAAGAGGATGTCGCATAAATGAGGGAGCTGAAACAAAGATCACATTATCCTCTTCCCCGGACTGGCAGCCGATTTCATCGAATGTCACAGCTATGATTTCTTCCCACTATCCCCAGATTAAAGAAGGAGTTCCATTCTCAGCTGAACAGACTTGTCTCTGGCTCAGGTTGTTTCATCCGTGAGGAAAAGTAGGCTGCTTTCCTGCTGAGAGAGCTGAAATGGGTCTTTTCCCCCAGTGGGCACTTACTGAATAGTGTCTCCAGTCGAATCAAGCACCGGACGAAATTGTCAAAATCGATGATGAGCTCGTCATCTGCAAACCGGGCGGTGATCACTTGGTGGAGCTGACAGGGCATCTTGAAACCTGAAGTTAAATGAATAAGCAAACTGATGGTGAGGTGTTCGATTGCACCCCTGGGCTCTGTGTATAGGCTGGGGACCCGGCGGGGCAGTTTAGATGACAGTTGTCATTGTTTTGGTCCCCCTGGCTGCTCTGCTGTGAGACTGTTTATTTTACAAACCCAGTGCCTCTACTGTTGCCGGATGGATGTGGCAGAAACTCTTCATGCTAAACCAATATTAATTCTCCCTTTTCCCACAGTAGTATATATGTATATATTTTAAATTTGGCTGCCCTGGGTCTTAGCTGCAGCACACAGGATCTTTGTTGCCATATTCGGGATCTTCAGTTGGAGCATGTGGGCTCTATAGTTGGAGCATGTGGGATCTAGTTCCCTGACTAGGGATTGAACCCAGACCTCCTGCCTTGGGAGTGTGACGTCTTAATCACTGGACCACCAAGGACGTGTCTCCCAT